TGAAGTGTTGGGGAACATACTGTGTGTGCCCTCCAGCCAGTGACTATGCATGTATGCATGTTTGTGCAGATACATTTTCATTTCTCTGGATATTTGCTTGGAATGGAATTGTTGGGTTATCTGATAACTTGCTGGTTAATTTTACGTGTTTATAGAGAAATTTTACATTATTCTCTATTATTTTTATCTTCAGACAGTATATTTCATAGATGTTAATATATTTTTTTCTCAATAAAAACTTTTATTGGAGCTTAAAAAACATTTCATTCATTCATCCTGTTTCTTATGGCAAAAATCCATTAATTAGCCCTCACGAATGGTCCAGACAGCATCTGGGGCTCCGTTGTCCTTGTTTTTAAGTTTAGAAGTAATGACTTTGGTCTTCTGACCATCTTGAGTTGATAAGCTGGGTAGTACAGTCTTGGCGCAGCCTAGGAGCAGTAGTCAAGAGAGATTTCCAGAAGGGGCGGGTTGACAGTTGCCCTTTCTTGTCTTATAGAGGAGCTCCTCGCAAGACAATGGAGAGACCGAGAAAGGGGAAGGTACTCATTAGTAAAATACCATTTTGCTCATTATAGCTTTAATGCTGCCGGGTTCACCTCGGGGGCAGCCTGGGAAACCTGCCTGTCTCCTGATCTTTCAAAGGCTTACAGGTTTCGGGTTTACCTTATTCCTGTCACCCTCTTCAGTCACCTGCTCTTGAAAGAGAGCAGTGCACTAGGACTGCACAGCGGGAAGAAGCGCTGTGCTTGACCACAGCGTCTTCCCAGTTTTCAGAAATAACTTTGAAGTCAATTTAAAAATGTCAGTGGCTTTAGCTTAGCAGTAGACATTGCAGGGAATGTGCCAAAGCCCTGGGCCTCTCGCCTCTCACTGCAGACTCGGGGTTTGACTCCGAGAAAACTGGTACATAAGATTAGATGGTCGTTCAGGCTGAGAGGAAGCCCTGACTCCGGGCGTGTGGGCTGTCCACATCTTCCATTCTGGGCCAGGGAAGATCGATGACTCTCAGGTAGGAGAAAGGGTCACAGGTGCCACTTAGGCCACTCAGCTGTAATTCTAACGGGAGCTTTAACACTTCCCCTGGGCTCCAGCCTGGTCTCTGCTAGACTGCCCACCGTTTTCTCTGCAGGTCCCATACTGCTCACTTCTACGGTAAGAACGGGAACTATACCGATTATCACACATTGTTGTGAGACTTGAAGACTGGTGTGATTATCACCATGCCTGGATAATAGAACTGCCTGTCGTCACCTCTGTGGAGAGCGGGCGAGGTGTGCAGGTCCCTGCCGGCGTAGCCCTCCAGCGGGGCTAGGTGTGCAGGTCCCTGCCGGCGTAGCCCTCCAGCTGGGCTAGGTGTGCAGGTCCCTGCCGGCGTAGCCCTCCAGCGGGGCTAGGTGTGCAGGTCCCTGCCGGCGTAGCCCTCCAGCGGGGCTAGGTGTGCAGGTCCCTGCCGGCGTAGCCCTCCAGCGGGGCTAGGTGTGCAGGTCCCTGCCGGCGTAGCCCTCCAGCGGGGCTAGGTGTGCAGGTCCCTGCCGGCGTAGCCCTCCAACTGGGCTAGGTGTGCAGGTCCCTGCCGGCGTAGCCCTCCAACTGGGCTAGGTGTGCAGGTCCCTGCCGGCGTAGCCCTCCAGCGGGGCTAGGTGTGCAGGTCCCTGCCGGCGTAGCCCTCCAGCGGGGCTAGGTGTGCAGGTCCCTGCCGGCGTAGCCCTCCAGCTGGGCTAGGTGTGCAGATCCCTGCCGGCGTAGCCCTCCAGCTGGGCTAGGTGTGCAGATCCCTGCCGGCGTAGCCCTCCAGCTGGGCTAGGTGTGCAGATCCCTGCCGGCGTAGCCCTCCAACTGGGCTAGGTGTGCAGATCCCTGCCGGCGTAGCCCTCCAGCTGGGCTAGGTGTGCAGGTCCCTGCCGGCGTAGCCCTCCAGCTGGGCTCCAAGCTCGCGTTTTTTACATTTGGGACCCTGCATCTGAGGGTGGCTTGGAATGGAGCACAGAAGCAAACACGTGACCTTCCCATAGCTAGTGAAGAAATGTGGGTGAATTCTTACTTAACTCCATATTCACAAAACCAAAGAACAATAAGAAAGAATGGCTGGCTGGAAATCAGATCTCTTCTCGTTTGTCAATACAATGGGAGTGAGTTGTTTCATAATTAAGAAATAAAATCCATTTTATTTTCAAATTAATATTTGGGAAATAAGAATCATCCAGGTAATGTACCAGATGCCCTAAAACAGAAAGGTTTGTGCTTACAGCTAATGTTAGACCAACTAGATGATGTGAGCGTAAAGACAGCTCAGACTAGTGCCGTGTGTCATTGCCATCCAGTACACAATGAAATCCAGAGGCCAGAGATTATTTCTAGAGTTTAAAGTCTCAGTTTTTATTACGTGTAGTAGGAATGTTTGACACGAGCTCCAGCAGCTCTGAGTGTGCCGTGCTGGGTTGTTGGTGTAGGTGCCCCGTTGCACAGTGCTAGTGACCAATGATTACCCACTGAGCAGCAGCTCCCCGCCCGTCCCTCTAGCCCCTGGAAGCCATTCTCCCTGCCGTGAGTCTGACTAACTTGAGTACTTCATGTAAGGAGAACCGTGTGCTAGTTATTCTTCTCTGAGTGGCCTCTTATTTAACGTAGAAGTCCTCACGGCCCATCCATGTTAATACATATTGCAGAATCTTTTGACTTTTATGAGCCTGAGTACTATTTCACTGTGAGTATCTAGCATATTTCCTCTGTTATTCGTTTTTGGACACTTAGTATTTTCACCTCTGTGGTGAATGTGAGGAGTGCTGATACCCCTGAGATACGGAATAGTTGAAACACTTAGATTGATCTGCACTCTCTCCCAAATGACTCTAAGTACGATGCTCCGTTTTCAGTGCACCTACTGATTAGTTTAATTCCGCAGTTCTACATGGTCTCAATAACAGTGCTTACCAACTCTCTTTTCAAAGGTAAGAGCTTTCAGTCCATCTCTCTGAGTTGCTATTGACTGTTTGATATACTCTTTTTTGTTGTTTTAAGTAGAAGGGTTAGTGTCTTTTTAACAAAAAGCATGAGAACGCTGTCAGGTACACAAGCACACAGGGAATGAGCTACTGATTACTCGTGGCTCCTTTGACATGCTAATAGTGAATGTCTTTCCAACGCACTGGGAATGCTCCTTCACTCTTCTTGCCACCTCCATCTCCACCAGGCAGCCCCGCCCACCTCCATCTCCACCAGGCAGCCCCGCCCACCTCCATCTCCACCAGGGAACCCCGCCCACCTCCATCTCCACCAGGCAGCCCCGCCCACCTCCATCTCCACCAGGCAGCCCCGCCCACCTCCATCTCCACCAGGCAGCCCTGCCCACCTCCATCTCCACCAGGGAACCCCGCCCACCTCCATCTCCACCAGGCAGCCCCGCCCACCTCCATCTCCACCAGGGAACCCCGCCCACCTCCATCTCCACCAGGCAGCCCCGCCCACCTCCATCTCCACCAGGGAACCCCGCCCACCTCCATCTCCACCAGGGAACCCCGCCCACCTCCATCTCCACCAGGCAGCCCCGCCCACCTCCATCTCCACCAGGGAACCCCGCCCACCTCCATCTCCACCAGGCAGCCCCGCCCCACCCCAAGTCATTTCTTTCTTCTGGATCCCAATAGCATTGCTCTTACTTCTTTTTGTAGTTACAAATTGAGTCTTTTTTTTTTTTTCGAGACAGGATTTCTCTGTAGCTTTGGAGCCTGTCCTAGAACTGGCTCTTGTAGACCAGGCTGGCCTCGAACTCACAGAGATCCGCCTGCCTCTGCCTCCCGAGTGCTGGGATTAAAAGCGTGTGCCACACCATCGCCCAGCACAAATTGAGTCTTGAAATATAATTGCTTGTATTATCTCCCCTGATAAAATATGAGTGGACACAAAGTGAAACATTGGCTTAAGCTCTGACAGAAAATACTGGGTATCTTCTTTAACCTGGGTACTGTGTTTACAGCCATGTGCAACTCCCACAGCTCCTGCCTTTTCCGCCGACCTCTCTCACATCCGCTGTGCATGTTCCCCTCCTACTTTGTCCCCCACTCTTTCAGCTTATTTTGTCTTTTCCCTGGGATTTCTGAATACACTATGAACTGAATACAAGTTCAGAAACACACTAAACTATGGTATAACGGAGGCTTAATGCTTAAAGCTGTAGCCTAATATGTGAGAATGAGTTTCCCCTGCTTCTGAAGACTGACAGTACATTGTCACTAAACACCAGGCACGCGCTACCTTTCTGAGTTGTCATACTGTCCTGTCACTGTTAACAAGGAATATCATAGGAAAAGTATTTCTGTCTGTGCGATAACAAGTATTTATTAATCACGTGTTTTCTTTGTCCCATGTGGACTTTGGGGATACCTGTGGTTTTCTGCAGCTTGCTGTCACCAGGGACAGTGCCCTCCTGCAGCTAGTTCTTGAAGAATTCTCTGAGATAAATAACGCAGAGCAGCAACATAGGGAGGGTGGCCTGCGAAGTCAGGTGACAGTGAACTAACCAGAGATATATGGGAGGAGTCAGCCTTGAGAGGCTTGGGCAGAGCCTTGGGCAAAGGGATAGCTAGCTGTGAGTGCCTGCCTGCTTGCGTGCATGGTCGGTCCCTGAGGCATGTGTCAGTGGGCATATGTGAGAAGCCAGGGCATGGCTGGCCATGCAGAGCCCAGTAAAGGAAGGGAAGAAGTCCAGGGTACAGAGTTAGTTGTATGTGGTTACAAGCTCTACTGTGACCCAGACTGACTGTACCACACAAAGTCAAGGCCGGGATGATGTCCAGCTCATCACAATGTTGAGTAAGTGAGGGTGAGTAGTGGTGCTTGTACATCACTGATAATTTATATATAACTCATAAACCTCCCATTGAATTTATGCGATGGAGAAGTATTAAAATCTTTCTTAGCTTACTCACGTATGATCTTTTGAAATAATGTGCTATTACTAATTATTTATAAACATTAATGGCCACTGTTTTCTCACGAAGGTTAAAAAGCTGAAGAGAGAACTCTCGCAGATGAAGCAAGAACTTCTCTACAAAGAGCAAGGCTTTGAAACACTGCAACAGTGAGTACTAAATTACTAAAATCGACGTTACAGCAATTCAAAGCTCCCTAATAAAAAACAGATATGTAGTAATAGAAGCCCAGACGTGGATAACTGAGTCCACAGAAAGCCTGAGAAAGCTTGGAAAAGAATAGAGTAAAGCATGTTTATTGTGGCAATTTCTTGGGTCTGCTCTGCTTGCTAGAGGCAAGCAAGCACTCTCATCTAAGAGAGGCTTTCCTGACTCAGCGTTAGCTCTACTGACTGGGCTCATGCTAACACTGTCTCCCGCGGTCCCTGGTCCGCAGAAGCCTGAGGTTTCCATAACTGTATGACCACAGGAAGCACCAAAGCTCTCCTTTAATAGCCTTCAGCTGCTTTCTGTGTCCTGTGCTCAGGCATGGCCGGGTGCCATCAGCGGCAGGGCAGTGTTCCTAGGGCTCCTCCTGGCTGGTGTCATGCTCGGATAGGTTTCTCAGCTTCCTCATTAGTGTGTTAGCAATGCCAGGCCCACACAGGAGCCACCTCTCTGGGAAGTACCCAGCTCCGCTCCTGTTGCCTAGTCTGCCTTCTGTTCTTAGAAAATCTGCTGCCTATATGTTTTTCTTTGGGTTCACCTTCTTATTTAGCTTCTCTAGGATGGCGAATTATAGGCTCAATGTCCTTCCTTTATTTATGGCTAGAAACCAAATGTGAGTGAGTACATCCCATGTTCCTCTTTTTGGGTCTGGCTTACCTCACTCAGGATAGTGTTTTCTATTTCCATCCATTTGTATGCAAAATTCAAGAAGTCCTTGTTTTTTACTGCTGAGTAGTACTCTAATATGTATATATTCCATACTTTCTTCATCCATTCTTCCATTGAAGGGCATCCAGGTTGTTTAGACCTGGATGGAGGTGGGTGGTCCTTGGACTTCCCACAGGTCAGGGAACCCTGATTGCTCTTCGGGCTGATGAGGGAGGGGGACTTGATCTGGGGAGGGAGAGGGAAATGGGAGGCGGGGGCGGGGAGGAGGCAGAAATCTTTAATAAATAAATAAATTTAAAAAAAAAAGAAAATCTGCTGCCATTCAAGGCATTACTCCCATTAAGTAAGGCTCGTGACTGTCACTGGCCTACCATGAGCTGATTGTTCTTCGTGCTGAATGGTGACTTGTGCTTCTGACCCCCACCCACCCACTACTCTTGACCAAGTCAGGCACATGACTGTAATTTCAGGCCTTTGTTGCTATGATTCGGCCTTCTTGCCTCACAGAATCGGGGCACTGACACCCCTGTAGGTCCACTCACCCTAGTGCTCCCCAAACCTGCTGCTAGAGGAAGTCTGGAGACATCTGCTGCAGGTCCCCAATGCCAGGTGTATTTGGTGGTCTCTCGGTAAGTCTCCAGTTTAGACTTGCAGCAGCAAGTTTAGATTCTGGCTGCAGACTAGAATGACCTAGATGCATTATAAAGTAACCGTGTGTCAACAACATACAGCAGGGCTTTGCGGCAAGAGGAGATCAAACAAAGAGTGCCAAAAAATAGTTAGCCGTGTGGTAGACATTTTAAGATACATGAAATTATAACTCAGGGTTAAAGGTTAGCCAAACTCGCTGGGTTGTGTTGTGTTGGTATGACAATACGCTGTTGTTTCAAAGCACTTTGCCTGCAAATCCTTCCCGTGGGCATCTGAGGCATCTGTAAGACTGTCGGTAGCATTTCGTGAAAAAACAATAGACATCTGTGTGGGAAGCCGCGCTTTCTCTCGGAATGAGCCGAGAACAGAAAGATACAGTATCTAAGGACAGAGACCTCTCCTGTTGCTCTCAGGTATAGACAAAGCAAAGCCTTATCTTCCAGCTGCTGCCCCTGTACCACTAGAACACCCACCAATAGCTGGTAGACCAGAGACCAGACTGTAAAACAAACCTCCGTGCTAACGCCACGGAAGATTTGTTCATTTGTTGTGTCTGCGGCAGTTTTCTGTAGCGTTTTACTTCTTCACCACAGACAGGGATCCTGTCAATGAATCTTGAATTATAATGTGATTTGTCCTTGATTTCATTTTGCTTGGCACAACAGTTTTATGCTGGGTTAATAAATATCTTTCTATGTTTCTCGGTTTATGCTCACAAATTTGACGGCGGCCTAACAGTAGTGTCGCTTGTGTTTGGAGGACCCCGGGAACACCCTGTGCCCCCCCAGAAGGGAAATGATAGCAACACTTAGCAAATCAAAAGCAAGTGTGCCCCCCATGAAAACAAGTGTGCTCCCCATGAAAACAAGTGTGCTCCCCATGAGAACCCCGCTCCGCAGCAAGTCTTCAGAGGAGTCACGCACGCCAGTGAAAATCTCTTTCCAATATGGAGTAAACGTTTTAAAGTTTAAAAAGAAATAGGGAAAAATTAAGATTCTTTTCCTTCAAACAGAGAAATAAAAGTATAGAACTTCATTTTAAAGGCAAAAGGTGGCTAAGCCTATGGATCTGTGTAGCAAGAACCACGAAAAAGGTTAATAAGCCATTAAACTACTTTATATTTTTCTAGTCAGGTCAAAAGAGGGGGAGGAACGTGGGAAAGAGAATGTGGAGGAAGAGTGAGAGAGAGCGGGAAACACGAAGTGGAAACGAACATTAAAGTCAGGAGGTTTGAGGGAGGGCTCCAAATACAGTAAGGTAGCCGAGAAGTTTCCGTCAAAACGAAAAACTCTCAGAAAATTAACCCAGTAGTCTAGTTGGACTCTGGGTTTTAATTTTTAAGTGGCAAAACGTGTTTCTGAACTAAGGGCAGGTTTTACCATTGCATACGGAGGGTTTCACATGTGGGAAGAAATCAGTCTTGCTCTGCAAAGTCACTTTGACACAGTTTCTGTCATGTAAACTTTTTATGAAATCCCAGTTTGTTTCCTGTTTTTGCTTGCTTGCTTTTAATTTATTAAGTGCCTTATTTGAAAATGCAAAACAACATCTGGAAACAGCTTTGCTTTAGTTAGTGAGCCTTCACCTGTGTTAAGTTGGCGGGCATAATTCTTTTTGGTTTCGAGACAGGGTTTCTCTGTAGCTTTGGTACCCGTCCCGGAACTAGCTCTGTAGACCACGCTGGCCTCAAACTCCCAGAGATCCGCCTGCCTCTGCCTCCCGAGTGCTGGGATTAAAAGCGTGCGCCACCACCGCCCGGCGGCGGGCATAATTCTTTGAGGAGCCAAAGAATACATTGATAAATCTCTTCCGAAATAAGTGAAATTAAGCAATATTCGCAATGTTGTTTTCATGAACTATTCTAGCTTAGTGGTCATAAGAGCCCTCAGCCAGGGTCTGAACTTTAGGATAGTCGCCCTGCTAGCTGTGCTATGTGGTTTAAGAGTTAAATTTCCATAAGCTTTCCAGCCCCGCCCCCCCTTCTTCATTTGGAAAAAATGACAATGGGATCACCAAGGTCCACTTCCTACACTAAACTCTGTATGTGTGTGTGTGTGTGTGTCTGTGTCTGTGTGTGTGTGTCTATGTGTGTGTGTGTGTAATTCTGTGACTCTGTTGCTGTACTTCATTATCAAATGACCTTATAATCAAGCTTATTTTGCTAGGCTTTTAAAAGCTTAATTGCTTGTTCAGTAGCATAAAATATTCACTGAAATGGTACTCAGGGAGATGCGTTATCTACAGACTGCGCTTGTTTGAGTTAACTTTGTTTGGCAGCGTTGAGGCGGTGTCGTGTTTTATTCAGATGCACCTCTCACATTGGAGGTTCATATTAATTATTAAATGGCTTCAACCAGATGAGCTCCGGGTCCGTTTCCTTCTGATTCAGTGTCTGCCATTCCTCTGGAGGGCCCATGATAAGCAAGTCCCAAAGCAGGTCTGAGAAACTGTGTAGAGCTGCAGGCTGGTGGGGCAGAGGCATTATCTGTAAGCAAAACCCTAGGTGTATCCAGAAGGAACCCTGGAGGGGCCTTAACTGACGAGAACAGGATGCTGATCATGACCGGAAGATCCAACAACTTCTTTTTTTTTTTTTTTGGTTTTTCGAGACAGGGTTTCTCTGTGGCTTTGGAGCCTGTCCTGGAACTAGCTCTTGTAGACCAGGCTGGTCTCGAACTCACAGAGATCTGCCTGCCTCTGCCTCCCGAGTGCTGGGATTAAAGGCGTGCGCCACCATCGCCCGGCTGATCCAACAACTTCTTAAACAGAAGTAGGAGATTTGGTTGAGCCCTTCCCAAACAGTGAGTCTCCAGGTCCTCTAGCCTACAGTAATCATGATGTACATCTGTGGGGACCCAGGACAGATTGACGCACCGAAGAGCTCGATACACACTGGCGGAGGGGCACAGCTGCCATCTGTCTTGTTCCTAAATTCGAATTCATTCAGCAAGGCAAGAAGTTTGATCTCAATTCATAGCTTTAGTAGATACTTTTTAGATGTTTGACAGAAACAAGAAGCCGCACAATCCAAATATCGCCAGAGACTCACTAGTACAAATAAGACCTGTCAGGCACTTACTAGAGACTCACCATGCCGCCGCTGCTCTGCCAGGTGTTGCTCGGGCCTCATGCCTGGGAACTTCAGTGGCCGCTGTTGCGTCTGCTGCTGCAGTGTGGCTGGTCCCTGCCAGTTTTCTTTCTTGGCTGACAGATAAGGCTGAGTGTGGTAAAGACCGGCTCAGCCAGCATCAAGAGCAGCCAAGAATATGTGTGTGCCTGAAAGTGGGTAGGAGGGGGTAAGATATGATGCAGTAGGTGAAGAAGTTGACCATGAGGGGAAGAAAGCGGCACTCGGTCTGTGCGTGTCCTGCAAGGGCAATGGTGCAAGGTTGTCTGCCGAGGAAGGGACTGAAGCCAGCGGTTCCTCTCTGCACTTACCTTTTTATATAAACCTTCTTTTCCTTCTCCTCCTCGCTTAACAGAATTGATGAAAAGATGTCTGGAGGCCAGAGCGGGTATGAACTTGGTGAAGCCAAAGCCATCCTGACGGAACTGAAGTCTATCAGAAAAGCCATCAGCTCAGGAGAGAAAGAAAAGCAAGATCTGATGCAGGTATGTCGTGGGCATCCGTGTCTGTTCGCTCCCCTACTCCTGCTGATGGTGCCCACCCTGGATAGTTACAGGCTCTGAGGAACACATGGAGAATGAGTTGGTTTCCTACTTGCGTCCCTTATGAAGGCAGGGCTCAGATGTCCTTCTAGATTGAGTAGAGTCGGGGGAGATGGAGCCCGGAATCCATAGGGAGAGCTTGTATCTTGGCACACCCCTAAACCCATGGAAGCTTCATGTGGGATAGATTATCAGGGTTCTCCCTACGAGTGACCCTCACCTAGGGTCCACGGGAGTGGGTCACCATCATCAGTAGGTAATGGATATGTCTCTTGGGCTGGGGGACGTTGGCCCAGCCAGGAGCAGCCACCGGTACCTCCAGGAGAGCTGCTAGTTGATCCCTTTGTTTCTTTGTACAGTTTCCAGCCTGCAGATCTTAGCTCCTCAGATCCATCCTCACACAGGGAAACAGAACGGCAGCCGGCAGTCTGAATATCTGCGCCTGTCGGAGCCCTGTCCTTGTCTTGAGGAATCTCCCTTCTGTCCCTTTCCCTCTACCTCATAATTTAAAAATAGAAGAAGACATTAGGGGTTCATCACCATCTAGCCAGGCTTCAGTTAGTGTCTCTGTCCGGTGTTAGAGCCAGCAGTGATACTTGGGCCTGAATCCCTTTCCCAGCCGCCTGTAGCTCCAGCTCCAGATCAGACACCCTCTTCTGGCCTCTATGGGCACCTGCACACATGTGGCGCTCACACACAGAGACACACACAAAATACATGTATAACAAATCAATACACAGCTAGATTCTAGTACCCACAGGAGAAGGGAGGCCACCTGCTAAATATGCTCTCACACACTTCCAGAATCACACACCTGTGCAAAATACACAGCGGAGTCCCGACTTTCACCACAGAGCCCTTCCCTTCAGTGGTACAATGGAAGAGGACTGCCCTCCTGTGTGGTAGTCTTAGGAGGTGCTGTGTGCTTCTTGACAGAGTCTTGCTAAGCTGCAGGAGCGCTTCCATGTGGACCAGAACATGGGCAGCTCGGAGCCAGACCTGAGATCTAGTCCTGTGAACTCCCACCTCTCTCTGTCCCGACAGACCCTGGATGCTGGGTCACAGACAAGCATTTCTGGAGATGTAAGTAGCCAGAGGGCATCAGCTGTCCTCCCTGGGGGGGGGGGGGGGAGTGAGGGGCACAGGGGAAGGGGTGGGGAGGGACTCTAACCGGAGCTGGAGAGTAGGCACTCAGTGTCTCGCCCTCCAGATTCAGCCTTGTCTTTTTCCGTCCAAGTGCCAAGTGCGCACAGCCGGAGCATCCCCGGCTGCATTTCTTTACAGATGCTACTGAGGAGGTAGACATTACCACCCAGTTTAATCCCCCCCAACTCAGTTTACAGACGTGTGAACCAGAGTCACTTCTATGAACACTATGGGGAATGGAAACCAAAGAGGTGCTTTCAAAGCTGACGGCTCCTCCTCTGCCAGAGCCTCCCGGCACCCACATCAGGCAGCTCATGACCTGTGACTCCAGCTCCAGGGGCTCTGACAGCCAGATGTGCCCCCCAAACACACCCTCACGCCACAGACTCTCACACACACGTCCATGTGCATGAGTTCTTGTTTTTGAAAAAGAAATCGTTTTTATAAATTTGAAGTTGAGCATTTGTGAATTATAGCTTATGTTTGAAAATATTTCCTATGATCTGTATATCATTATGTCCCCCTCTTCCCTGGGAAAAGCCGCCCACAAGTGTTTAGGTTTGTTATGTCCCCACTTATATTTATGCCTCTCAGATGCCTGTGCTCTGAAAGTGAAGCAGACCGTGCTGACAGTAGGTCTCACCTGTTAGGAAATTAATTCCTGAGGTTATTTAATTTACATTGCATGTAGTTATGAGTTAAATAATGGAAATTTTGGCAAAGAAATCAGTTCCATTTCGTAAATTTCATTGACCTACACACCCTTCATAAACTCGCAGACACCAGACACAATTGCCTGGTGTCTTTGTCTTGGATTTAATCTGAGCGGAAAGCAGTGCGAAACTCTGCAAAACAGATGAGCCCGGGTGAGGACGCCTTTCCCCTGCTGAGTAAGTGCGGTTTAACTGGAGCTTCCCCATTTCACAGCCATTTTCTCCAGCTTTTCAATTACCCGGGCTTCCTAGAAACAAAAGCTGTTTACTTCATTCATTAGCAGAGTTAATTGACTTTCTTCCTTCTGTTTTTACTAGATTGGGGTGCGGAGCCGATCAAATTTAGCTGAGAAGGTCAGGCTGAGTCTCCAGTATGAAGAAGCCAAAAGAAGGTGAGGGCCAGGTGCTGGCTCGCCGTGGTCGGTGGGCTCCAAGGATGGTCTCTTTTTCAGTATTAATCTTTGTGGCTATGGTGACCGGTGTGGCCCACTCCCCTGCTATTGTCACCAAGCCTGCCCTTGGGGCTTTAACCTGTGAAGGCCGCTTCCTGTCTTCTAGCTCTCTCTCCACCCCCTGCAAAGTTCAAAACTAAAGAGAATTTCAATTTCTTTTTATTTATTTGTTTTTTGAGGCAGCGTTTCTCCATGTAACTCTAGCTGTCCTGGAACACAAACTGTAGACTGGGCTGGCTTCAAACTCAGAGATCCGCCTGCCTCTGCCTCCCAAGTGCTGGTTTAAAGGCATGCGCTGGATACCCAGCTTGAATAAGGAGAATTTAGTGAGAAGTATGGGGATGAAGGTTTCCCCTTCCCTTTTGGGAACAAAGTCTGGAGCTTTGTATAATGCATCCAATTGAAAGTGAGATGGTTGTTTCCTCGGCCAAAGCCCTGTGCAGTGGCCCAGCCCTGCCCCTTTGCTGGGACTTACCTTTGAGTAGCCCTTTATCCTGAAGGCTCCTACTGCTACCTAGGAGGAGCTGCGTGTCTGCTCCAGCTGACAGGTCAGGGAAGGAGGCGGGAATCTCTCATTACTTCATAAGCTCTTGGGTTCTCATCTTTTTAATTCCTCGACTCTGCTGGGGTTCAGTACAAGAAACCACAAGGTCCTGAAGTAGCAGGTAGATACTCTTACTCTTACCTTATCACACCCCATTCAGGAGTTAGTTTCCAAACAGGTGAGGTCTACTGTCAGCACGGTCTGCTTCACTTTCGGAGCACAGGCATCCGAGAGGCATAAATATAAGCGGGGACCTAACAAAACTAAACACTTTTGGGTGGCTTTTCTCGGGGAAGAGGGGAACATAATGATATACAGATCATAGGAAATATTTTCAAACATAAGCTATAATTCATAAATACTCAACTTCAAATTTATAAAAACAGAATGACGGTGAAGGTCATTCTGCTACCGCTGATTTCATTATTTGTCTTTTGAGAGCTTAAACACGCCACTGATTGTCACCATTCAGGAGACTTTAGGAGAAACTGCGTGGTCACCTTACAAGAATCTAAGGAATGTATTTTGTTCCTCCTCAGACCGGGAGGCCCTCCCAGAGTGTTGAGGCTCCTACCATAAAGAGGACCCTCCTGACCCTCAGACATTCGCATGTGTCCGTTATTACTCAAGACGATAAAATTTTAAAGCAATTGACCGCAGGTCTTAGAGGTTATCTGGCTTTAACAGAGTGAAATGAATATTACTGTATTACAATATTTGCCTCTGTATTAGCCAGTCTTTCAAATAATTCTTGGGTCTTCAGTTTACTGAACAGAAATCCAAGTTTCGTTCCATAAATGATTGACTACATGACCTTCAACAAGTTCCTTGGTCATTCTGAGTGACATTTAAGTCAGCTAATTTTAATGTCTCTAACTTCCCCTGGTAGATTTTAAATGTCTTGAGGCTAGGAAAGCCTTTTTGATTATATTATCTCCTTTCGAGGAACAGAACTGGGAGCTTGCTCTCAGTAGCTTTGGCTGGTTGGTCTTTGGTGTGGAGGCCCAGGCTGTGACAGCTCTTCCAGGGTGGCATAGTCAAGGGTCCTCTCGCTGTGAGCAGCCCAACCCTGTAACAGCCGCAGCTCCTTGGTTCTGCCATGGACAGAGCCCAAGATTTACATCCTGTTTTCTAAAGGCTCGTGGCCATAGCTCAGAGTTAAAGCACCCCGGGGCTTGCAGCAAGTCTTCTTAAGGACTGCCCCTTGCTGCCTTGGGTCACCGTGAGCTTTCCCTCCATGGTGATCAACTGTAACAGTTAACAACCTCTAGTGCTTGTGTGACACTTCCCTGCCTAGTTCCTGGAAGTCCCCTCCACATCCTCCCTGCCACATCCGTGTGCCCGTTCCAAAATAAAATCCAATGTCTGCCTAATCGTGTGCCCTCAAGTAATAAATAGATAGATACCTTTCTTCCCTGTGCCTCGCTGTTACTCCCAGCTCAACCGGCTGCTTTGGGCACGTCAAAGCTTAGGCCATTGTTTCCTCGCCATTTGGCTGTTCTGTTGTATTATTGGAGCTGGTTTTAGGGTTTCTGACAGGTTTTAGGTTGCTGACTCTCAAGGGAATTTGCATGTGTTGAAAACGCGTTTTCCTCCTAAGTTCTTAACAAGGGAAGACGTGAGTTATTCTTCCCTGAACCTGTTTTCTCCTCCAACTTTTGTTTTATGTGCTCAACGAAGCTAATAATATCATGCTTATTTAGCGATTTGATGATTAATTCCTGTACGGGGAGACAGTTGTTTCTGGCTTTGTGTTTAAAGCTGAAGAATTGCCGATGTTACACCTGTCGTGAGTACAGCAGAGATGGAAAGAGAAGCACACTGCATATGTACCAATCCAGGATAACTTTTGCTTTTTAAAAAACCACAGTAAGAAACTTAAGGCACAGGGGTCCAGACCTGCTTCATTCATATCTTTGTTTTGAGCTTTTTCTCGTAATAGTTTCTTCCTTCAAAACAGGGGAATTCATCCCTTTTTCTGTCTGTTTCTCTTGTGTGGTGTTGCCGCCAGAGCAGCCAAAGCTGCCATCCATTGGTTTATGTAGGGATATGGGTTTCAGTGGTGTTTGTCTGGGTCTTGCCCTATGACTGATGAGCCGTCAGCTTTCAGTCCGTGGGAAGTCGTGATTGGCTTCCGCAGTGCTGTAGGGCAGGTTGTTTCATTCCGGAGACTCGGCGTTTGTGCCGAATTGGGAGTTATGCAAATCTGACCATCTCTAACTGGACTCGAGACATCCGGAGGTCCTGGGTCAGCCAAGACTGTGATGCCAGAGGCTTTACAGCGGTGCTTTTCCCCTTCACTCTGTGGTTGCCACACTAGCAGCCTTTGCCTTGCTGGTTAAGGTCCACCATACCTGCCCCTTGTGTAGCCCAATAACCAGATAGGAACATAGGTCAGAAGCAGTAACGCCTGAGATGGCCCAATATTACTCAATAATTAATGCTTACCATGCGAAGGTCCCACTGAGGGGAGATTTCCCAGTGTGAAGTTTGAGAAAAGTGGGGTGGGAGGAAATGGGGCCCTGCCCATCATCCTTGGTGATACGAAACCTTAATGAGTTGATTTTGCCTTAATATGGGTTGACCGAGGCCCCTCTCCTGTCTCATTTCTTCCTTCTGTGATCTGCTGCTACCTCAGTTTCTACCCAGCTTTGGAAGTTACCATTTGACGGGGGGACTCTAACCTACAACCTGGCATTTTGGGGCACCCTGACATGTTTGTTTCTTTTTTTTTTTTTTTTTTAGATTTATTTATTTATTAAGTATACAGTGTTCTGTCTGTATGCATTCCTGCAGGCCAGAAGAGGGCACCAGATCTCATTACAGATGGCTGTGAGCCACCATGTGGTTGCTGGGAATTGAACTCAGGACCTTTGGAAGAGCAGGCAGTGCTCTTAACCACTGAGCCATCTCTCCAGCCCGACATGTTTGTTTCTTAATGGAAGCTCCTAGCTAGCCCTCCCATTACCCCGCACACATCAGGAGTGCCTGACTGTGGTACTCTACTTTAGGTTCTCCGCTCACGTGACCTGGAGTGTGTGATTGCTGCTTGCTCTCTGGGAAGATGTAGATTGCAATTGCACCAGGACGTAACCTGGGCTGGTTTCCCTTTTCCCAGGAGTCCTAAACACTTGTGTCTTCTATGTCTTTTAGCATGGCTAACTTGAAAATTGAACTGTCAAAGTTGGAGAGTGAGGCCTGGCCCGGGGCCCTGGACGTCGAGAAGGAGAAGCTGATGCTGATCAAGGAAAAAGAAGAGCTTTTGAAAGAGCTGCAGTTCATCACTCCGCAGAAACGCACGCAGGACGAGCTGGACCGCCTGGAAGCAGAGCGCCAGCGACTGGAGGAGGAGCTGATGTCCGCACAAGGCTTGCCGAGCAGGGCTCTGGCCGAGAGGTAGGTGTGTGTGTGTGTGTGTGTGTGTGTGTGTGTGTGTGTGTGTTTCTGGGAACAGGGTGACTTGAACCTATGGTTGTGTCTTAAGGTGACGTTTCCCCAGGTTTGGAAATCTTAAATATAACTTCTGCTGTTCGTGGACTCAGAAACAGCACAAAACAATTTCATTTTGGCAGAGCAATAAAGCTCACCCTCCTGTGCCCTGGAGTATCAGTTCCTCTGTGTCTATTAGGAATGGGAAAGTGCTCATGACAGATGTCGAATAACTAAGGAATGTTGACATAAAATCAGGAGCGCACTACATCACTGAGTGAGCCTGATAACAATGGCTATAAACTGTTGCTCTCTGAGGAAGATGCTCTAGACTTCATGAAACCGGGCAGCCTTCCTAGGCTCGTTTTTAATACTGACAAGAAGCCCTATGTTTATTGCTTTTAATTTCAAAAGGAAAGGGAGCGACAGCTTGCTCTCTTTGATACCTTAATCAGTCACAGGATGTTCCTTGCATGTGGCTTGTCAGCTGAACATTGCTTCTGAAGCAGAGGCAAGCATTCTGAGCATCTTCTGATTTGTCTGTGGGACGGTGGGAGTTATTTATTCAAAATTACCCAGTGCTGCAAGCAGAGCGTCAGGACTGTTGATCAGAGGACACACGTGTCCCTCGGATGTGAGCACACCAGCCAGAGCCCGGTGCCTGGACAGATCTGTGTTGCTGGCTGCTGTGGCAGCGTACCTGTTTGGCGGCAATCTGTGGCCCTTGAGAACCAGTGCACATCCTAGACCAGCAAGGAGAAGGGTCTGCCCCAGCGGCCTGGAAATGAGTGTATGCATCCATCCAGAACCCAGTTCCTTCTCCTTTCTCATCCTTTACCTCTTGCCTTCTAATCCCTATTTCTCAATGACTGTCCAGAGTTTTAAACATTAAAATATTTTAAACTAAGGGAATGGTGAGACAGGGAGGGAGAAATCTGCGGTTCCTGATTAGGTCTTAGCAAGGGAATGTTTTGAGTTTAGCTGTTTGGGGAAGTCCTGCTGATGCTCCACGTGGCTTCAGCGCCCTCGTTTTAGGGAACATGAGCAGGTATCCTGAGGCAGATCTCTATAGACTGCAGGCATTCGACCGAGTTCTCGCTGTTGCCTTGTTTCCCCTTCTCATCCACCTTCCTCTGCTTTCTCTGTCTCGTGGTGAAAGAAGCGTTAGTTCTGGGTGTGAGGAAGGACCCAGGCAGCAAGCACCCACAGGCACAGGGGTAAGTAAATGGGAAGGGTGAGTTACTCGGGTCCGCATTTGTATATTTTAACTTTCCAGCGAAGAGTCACTAGTGGATGTAAAGAGCGGGTGGCCTTTGTGTCTGCTGTGTACAACACCAGTGCCTTTTACATTGTACAGCACTTTCTAAATCCCGGGGATTGTTCCCTTCATGTCCCGGGGGTTGGTTCCAGAACCTCTCCCTGATACCCAAGCCATAATTCCCCTGTACAGATGTATAGTGTTGACAGAGAACATACACGTGTCCTCTCGGAAGCTTTGAACACTTTCTAGATTATGTAGAATTTCAAACACAAGATAAATGTTATGGAAATAGTTGTCATGCTGTATAGCTTAGGGAACAATGACAAGGAAAAGGCCCACATGTGGTCAGTACAAACTCAGGGTTTTCCCTGGTTGGTTGAATCCTTGATTATGTGACCAGGGTTGTGGAGACTCCCAGTCTCCATGCTCCTCTAACGTTTTCAGGGGACGTCTCTCTTCGCCTTTGCAGCAGGTGAGGGAGTCTGGAAAGGCGCTGGTCCTCCTTTAGCTTTGTTCCGGGGAGACAGGGAACGTGTTCATCTTATCTGCATTTACAAGCAAGCCGGCATCCTGCTTGTCTTTTTTAGTCAGGGATGGTTTGTTCCGGAGTGACTGTTAAACTTTGCACACATATAAAGACTGTCAAACTTCTAGTAGCAGGTTGGGACCCAGCAGAAGCAGGAGCTACATAGTATGTACATACAATAATGATAATATTTAGTGAGAAGCAGCACAGGGTTGGGCCATGTGGGGAATAGACAGTGTGCTTAGCTGACTTCACCTGCGCAGCCTGTCTGCCACTGACCCGATAGATGCGAGGAGGCATGCCTGTCTTTTGTTTGTATATTACTGGTTTTCTGAGCCCTCTGAAAGTCCAGCCACTTGGCATAACAAGTACATGCAAGTTTCCTTATAGTGCCTGTGGTCTAGGGCAGGTCCCATCGCTTTGCAGTGCAAGGGAGGGAGCACTCAGATGTCCCATGGATCAGCTGAGCTCCTCCATCATTGCTCACGGTCCCCTTCCACATGTCCCAGGAGCAGAGCCTTCCGCTGCAGTGTGCACCGGGTCCTCTGCTCCCCAAGCAGACACAGCACAGCAGGGCCTGGCTGTTCTTACTCACGCTTTTGTTTTCTGGACCTTCACGCTTATCACCTATTCTTTACCTTGCTTCCTACCATATAGTCTTATTTTCGCTAGTTGCTTCGATCCAGCTGTCCTTGAACCTGTGTAAGTAAGAGCCTAGCCCTGTAAACCATGCCTCCTCCTCCTCTGTGGTAGAGCAGGTGGTGGCCAGCAACACCCTAGGAAGGAGAATTCACCGGGTGACATCGAGCACATTGTCAAAATCAGACCCTCGGTTTCTTGGTGCTGACACACCAAAGCAAGCTTCCTGCTGTCTTGCTTTAAGCTTTCCTGTTTCCCATCCTATTGTGGGTTTCACATTCTTTCAGGGATGAACTCAAATTGTGGTCTCCAAAGACACTAAACTCATATGAACGCACAGGCATCTTTTGTATCCTGACCCCCATTTCTGCTGCCGCTGTGAGCCCCACAGCAGTGGCAGACAGCTCCCTCTAGCGGCAATAAAGTCTATCTGCACACGCCAGAACTGGACCAAAGAAATTGCTCTCCAGTCCTGTACCCCTTTATACTTTGGCCCACAGCACTGACACTCTGCAAACTGTGGTTTCCTGTAGCTGACAGATCTTTGCTGCTTCACACAAATTCCAAGGGCTCACCACGAAATCATCAGTGCACCTGGATTACTTAAAGTTTTTTTGCTAAGGTATCTGGAGATTATTTGAAACAAATGGGCCAGGCATGTGAGTGCCATCTACTTTTCTTTTTTAATGGAAAGGAGACTGCTTTACTGTATTGATGACATGAACGCTTCCCAGGTGGAAAGTTGTGAGCTCGGGAGAGGCAGCGCCTCCTTCCCTTGGAGTGCTGAGGTAGACACAGAAAGAGATGGCGGCCTGATACATTGCCAAGGGCAACCTGAAGGGCAATGAAGAGAAACAGGACGGATACAGGGTGGAGGGGTACCCTTTATGAGCCCCTTTCTCTCTTTGGAAACTAGACGGGCAGGACTGGGAAGGAGCATAGAGAGCCAAGCTCAAGAAGAGGGCCATATTTATAATTCCCTGGGTGTGCAAGACCTTGTCACCTAGTCTGAGGAGACTTCCAGCTGCCCTCAACTGACAGCTTGATGAGTCCATTAAGGGCAGTAGCTGCTGCCCTGCTCCAAGATCTCCGTGACTTTTCACAGCGCCCTTACCACCCTTCCGCCCTTCTAGTGGCACCAGCAAGAAGTTTGTATAGAGGAGAGAGGAAGAGCCAGTGCCTGCCTTCTGGGACCTTAGCGTCATCTGGGGGAGGGAACATGTGAGCAGGAACACTCAAGTGCAGGCTTTGGGGATGGCTCAGGCAGTAAAGTGTCTGCTTTGTATGCACAAGGGCCTGACTTTGCGTCCATAGACCTGCATTTAAAAACTAAAAAAGCCAAACATGGCTTCAAGTGTGTATTCCTAGTTGCAAGGGTGGATCCCGGGGACTAGCTGAACAGGTAGTCTAGCCAGTCCATAAGGGCCAGGTTCAGCGAACCCAACAGCTCAAAAGATAAGATGGGGCTGGAGAGATCAGCTGTTAAGGCCACTCGCTGTTCTTGTAGGACATTGTTTCAGTTTCCAGCACCCACATGGTGGCTCACAACTGGCTGTAACTCCAGTCCCGAGGGATCTGACACCCTCTTCTGACCTCCACAGGCAATGCATGCATGTGGTGCACGGACAGACACACAGGCAAAACAGCCACACACATAAAATAAAAGGAAAAATAAAACATCAACCTCTGGTGTACGTGCACACACACACACACACACACACACACACACACACACACGAGAATACACGAGCACAAAAGCCAAGCACCAGTAGTTGAGAGCCAGCCTGCAGGAGCTGGCCCAGCGCCCCTGAGTGTCATTATGACCTTGAGAACAAAAGACACTATCCTCCGCAACGTGTCCCTTAGGACGTGAGGAAATGCCTTTGTATTAATAAAATTGATATTTGTTTTTAAAATGTTACTTATTTCTGAAGTATGTCTCCTATTGCCAGAGACACATGTTTTGGCAGTGTTTGGGCTGTCTCCAGACCTTTGTGCCTTCCAATTCAGTTTATCTTTGTGTTAATATTTCTTCCTGATTGAGTTGATTTGTTTAGGAGATTTTAAAAAATAGGTTGTGCTTCTTAAAAATGAAGTTACAAAAGTTATGAAAAAATTAGCCATGACGGTATTCCAGAAAATGGCAAGAATCACTTTTTAATTGTAACATATAATGGAAATTGTGTTGTTGACACATCAAAGGGATAGGTGCCTATAAATAAAACGTGCCCCATCTCCTCACTACCCACGACGTGCGTAAAATTTCAAAGGGTTGGAAACTGGGGAGATTTTCTTTTCCTCCGAAGCCATGTGTCTTACTGTGTGTATCGCCACCTCGCAGGGCTGTGGACAAATGGGGCTGTTCTGTGGCCTGTTGAGCCCTTTCCCAGGCCTTGCTCCCTTTGATCCCTTTAACCGCCTTATCAGGTAGACACAGAAGCATCAAGAAAGGTGAGCCCCGCTAGCCGGTGGCTTTGCCAAAGGATCCCAGGCTCCCAAACAGCAAATCCCAGGCTAGGCACTGAGCTCTGCCTTCCCCAGATGACGTGTCAGGGCCCCGGTTGATGGGATTTGTGCAGGCACTAAGCTTTTCCTTGGATGCGTGACCTATTTTGAACTGAATTTGTTTCGAGATAAAATTCTCCAGTACTCTAACTGTATGATAATCTGCTCCCGGTGAGGCAGAACGGAGCTAGGGAGGCAGCTCTCTTGGACTTCTTGGTGAGATTGTCACTCGGCAGGTTAGCCACAACAGCCTCTTGGATCCGTCTCTCTCACTGCTAAACCTCCCGGGAAATTAGCGGTGCAGTTTTTGTAGTTAAGCGCGATTTTACAGCAATGCCTGCTATATTCAGTACTTCCGGCGACCTTTTACACTCCGCTACCTAATGGTATCCAAAGGTTTAGGTTTTCACTGTGGTCAACGTTGTCATTGTTTTCCCCGTGTCTGGGGCCAAATCATTTACCAACTTGAGAAAGTTTACACTGCCAACACTTAAAGTTTTCCTGGCTTTGGGACTGGACATACCTCTCCAGCTCCATTTATCGTGGCTGTGAAGCTCCGCCCCTTGCTGTGGGCGTCCTCTATCAGGTTCATCCAGACACCCCTCTTATACATGATTCTGGGATACTGAGTTTTTCTGTTGCTTAGTTTGGGTTTCTAAGTTATCATTTGAAAATTAATTTCTTTGTTTTTTTCTAGATTGAAATTAGAAGAGAAAAGAAAAGAGCTGCTCGGGAAGCTTGAGGAGACTACTAAATTAACCACTTCCTTGTACTCACAGCTCAAAAGGTGAGTGAGCACGGCGGGCCCTTGAAGGGAGCGCCTTTCCCAGCACCCAGGCAGGCCCTGGTTCCTCATTGGTTGGTTTTTACTGCTTAAAAGTAAACAAAGAAGTTATGCCCACTCCACTAATGTTTAAATCACCAAGTTTAGAAACAGGTTTCCCTCCCCCTCACCATAAACTCCATATTTAAGTTTGGAGTGCATTCAGAAATCTCCTGCCGAAGGGGGGGAGGGGCTCGCCTTATCTGTCAGTGAATATCGGAAAGTAGTGTGTTTCTGCCGTTACTCCACCTTCGTTCACCAAGGGAGACAGGGAAATCTACCGTGAATAGCTGCCCGTGACTTCCTTACACGGATTAGAATATTCACTCTTGCTCGTGGGTCCACCGCCGCCCTGTCTTCCTAGCCACGGCTGCGACACTGACACTTGCTGTCGGCCTTTGCCAGTCTTGTTGAAGTGTGAGGTTGCGAGGATGGCTCTGCAAGTTGACTTACAAGCATGTGTTTGATTTGATTTAAAATTTTAAGGTGTTTCACTGTGGTTGGGTTCATGTTGCCCTAGCACTCGTAGACCAGACTGGACTTGAACTCACAGAGATCTGCTTTACCTGCCTTTATCATTGTCAAATTAATATATATATATATATAATGGTTATTTACTTTCTCATTTAGGAGACAGGGTCTCTCTGTGTAGCCCTGACTGTCCAGGAGCTGTCTATGTAGACTAGGCTGGCCTTGAACTCACAGAGACCCTTCTGCCTCTGTCTCTAAAGTACTGTAATTGAAGGTGTGCACCACCACCACTCCTGGCCAGATGCTGTATATTGTTTATTTTTTTATTTTATTTTTCCAGGATGAGATATATTTGAATCTTGTAAATGAGAACAAGACTGTTTTGAAATACACATGTTAAAATATAACTAGCCCACATTTGTTCTTGAAATATTTATATTTGATTTTAATTATGTAAGGAAACTTTAAATACAGAAAAAAATAAATTAAATGGCTTTAATTTTACTAAGTGCAAATACAAATAATCTGACATTCATTATAAGTAGATAACATTTATTCTCTCTTAAGCATATAATTTTCTTCTTTTGCAGACTCTTATATACAAATCCATACCTCTTTGTTTACTTTATTCCCTGTTCAAGTTTTTTTATTTATTTATTTTTATTCTGCGAATTGTTTTAAAAAAACCAGAATTACTGGGGTGTATGAGGACCCATAATATATTCATGAGTGAGTAGGGAAGCCATCGTTCAAACAGCGAGCTCCTCTGTCCAGGTTGTAGATCTAACTCCCGGGCATCGCCGTGGCCATTCTCTTCCTGTCTGAAGGTGTCAGTGTGCACTGTGCTGTGCTTTCTTCCCCAGCCTCTCCTCCAGCACACTGTCCATGTCGTCTGGCAGCAGTCTGGGGTCCCTGACGTCCAGCCGCGGCTCTCTGAACACCTCCAGCCGGGGATCTCTCAACTCCCTCAGTTCCAGTGAGCTCTACTACAGCAGCCAGGGCGATCAGATGGACGCAGACTACCAGTATAAACTAGACTTCCTTCTTCAAGAGAAGGGTGGCTACATTCCTTCTGGGCCCATCACCACCATTCACGAGAACGAGGTGGTCAAGTCTCCCAGCCAGCCTGGCCAGAGCGGACTGTGTGCCGTGGCAGCTGCAGCCCCCAGCCACACACCCCCACTGACCGAGGCCTCCAAGTCAGTGACGTCCCTCTCCTCCAGGTCCTCTCTGTCATCCTTGTCCCCTCCCGGCTCCCCTCTGGTCTCGGACAGCACATTTCCAGTGTCCCCTCACGACCCCTCCGTGCACCAGTTCTCCGTTGACTTTGAGGACTGCGGCTTGAGCAGCCACTTTGCCGACATTGGCCTTGATGATAATCAGGTCTTGCTGGATTCAGACTCAGGAGCGTCCCAGTCTCTCTTAGAGGATAAAGACCTTGACGAATGTGCAGGGGAGCTGCTGTATGAAGGAGCAACAGGTAAGTGTTGAGCTTTGCTTTCCCACATCACCCTGCACCATTTCAGGAAGGGTTGGAGGACTCATTCCATATAAAGAAAAAGGGTATGGCTCCCTTCTCATCCTCCAGGGTGTTCATTTGAAGAGCATTCATTCCGTACCTAGACTTTTCTTCTCTGTCAAATAAAAATTGCCATTCTAGAAGGGGGACATATTTATAGCTCAGTGGTAGACAGCTTGCCTAGCGTGTGCAAGACTGTGGGTTCAATACCCCAGAACCACAAAATAAAAACAGGGACTGAAGAGACGGTGAAGTCTGTCAGGTGCTTGCTGCGCTAGTCTGAAGGTCAGAAAAGCCACTTACACCTATAATCCCAGGGCTCGGGAGGCAGAGAGGGGCAGAGTCCCAGGGCTTCCTGCCAGAGGACAGAACCTGCTCTGCTGAGCTGCAGGCTCAGTGAGAGACTGTGTCCCAAAAAGTAAGGTGAAGAGTTGCTGAGGAAGACACCAGTGTCAGCTGCTGACCGAGACACACATGCACACCTTTATACACACCTGCATACACAAACATATACATACGCAAAACATATTGCCCTCCTGTTGAATAGACTCAACCGTGGGGGCCTGTTCTGTAGTCCGGGCCCTCTGTGGGTGGTGGGTGCCTAGGATGTGTTTTATGAGCGGTCCACATTTCCACCTGGACCCTGGTTCAGAAACAGCAAAGAAATAAGGACTTTCTTTTTAAAATTGTCCAGAGCAGATGAAAACAAAGTCAATTAGCATGCCGGCTAATTAGCACAAAGATTTAGTGTTTAGCTTGCTTGGGGAGTTCTATCTAAACAGTTTTTGGTTTGTGCCAAACTCCCCTTCTGCCCCAGTTACCTGGTGGCTATAGTCCAGTGTCCGGAGCTGCTCTGCCATCTGCTGGCTGCTCTCGCAGCTGCAGGTCCAGGAAGATGCCCCTTGGAAAGAGTACCTGTTCATTAATATTGCTCTCCTGCGCACTGGGGAAGCTTCCAGTGTGTGCCATGGGTTGTAAAGTGCAGAGGGTACCATTGCAGTGTGGTGCTGTCCTGGGTTCTGAGGACAGCCCATTCTATAGCCAGCGTGAAGCTAGGTACAAAGCAAACTCTCAGCTCGTGCCGGGAAGTCCTGTTCAGTCAGCATGTGTCAGCGTGTCCCACCATGCAGAAAGAGCAGCCCATGCAGAACCCTGGCCTTGCTGTTTTAAGGAATGGTTTCTAGTGGTGTGCACATGTGTAGGAATTCTAAGTATTAATCAATTGGCCAATCGAGATGCAAGTTGATTTAGAGGTTTCTGATACCGAATGAAGTTCCGTGTTCTTGTTAGTGGCTGGGGCAGAACTGGAGTGGATGAGACCTTCCTACGGTTCGTATGCCCTCTTTCGGGGATGTGCCAATGAATAGGTCATTCTATTAAAATACCGCCCCCCCCACACACACACACAAATGCACATGGGAGATGTGTCCATAATGGCTTCCCACAACGAAGAGCCACTGTGGGACCTCACAGGGGCCCGTGGGAAGCAGTACAGTGGAGCAGCTGTGCCTGCATCCTCTCCACCTGCCTCTTTGGTTGTTTTAGGTGAGCATCCATCCTCTCTGTTGTTCAGATGCATTCCTCGTCTGCACGGTTAGCCTCATAGAATGCAAGACCATGCATGGCGTCCAAGCCTGCCTGGCGCACATGCGCAGTTTGTGGTAACTGGTGCCCTGTGTGGCGAGAGGTCATGAACACTGGTGTGCCCCTCTCTCCACACCACGCTGTGGGTTGTGGGGTGGGAGAAGGCCGTGTATGTTGTGGTTGCACCGTTCTTAGGTGCTTTTGTGCCTTTCAGGACGTGACACTTCTTGAGCATCTATAACTGACTGCTCTTTATGTATTATTGGAATACTCTCTAGTGTTGTGGTGAACGGCGGGGCTGCGTCCCGCCACCCCGCTAGCTTTACACCTGAAATAATTACACGGAAACTATATTCTTTTAAACACTGCCTGGCCCATTAGTTCCAGCCTCTTATTGGCTAGCTCTTACATATTGATCTAACCCATTTCTAATAATCTGTGTAACACCACGAGCTGGCTTACCAGGAAAGATCTTAACCTGCGTCTGTCTGGAGTGGGAGAATCATGGTGACTCACTGACTCAGCTTTCTTTCTCCCAGCATTCTGTTCCGTCTACTCCGCCTACCTAATTTTCTGTCCTATCAAAGGGCTAAGGCAGTCTCTTTATTTAACCAATGAAATCAACACAAAACAGAAGACTCTTCCCCCATCACTCTAGCGAGTATTTCTCAACATCCCATCAAATGGTGAACCCAGTACATAAAGGCAGATGCTCAAAAAGCAGGAGGGTCCCAAAACCTTCTGCACAAGGGCCATCACGATGATCCTGAGCCACCCCCTCCCCCCCCCCCCCCGCCACCCTCCAGTTACACGGCTGCCCAGTTCCTAATGCCTGCGTTTGCTAGCACCTGCGTTGATGACGTTGTGGCTGGAAACAGGTGCCTGAAGGAGATTCCCACGAAACCATTTTTTAACCTTGTAAGTGTTAAACAGCACTGCTGTTAAAGGTGCCCTCGACCTGACCGTGGCCCAGTGGCAGAGTGCTTGCCTAGGACCTCTGAAGCCTTGGGTTCCGTCTCCAGTACCTCAAGACAGTCGCTTGGGGAAAATGCACACAGGGGCTTTGTTTGCAGTTAGCTTTCAGTTTCCTGTCTGGAAACAGCAGAAGGTACGTGTCTTAACCGGCAAGACAAACTGTTCAGGCCACTGCACCGCCTTCCGACCTTAAAGGGAGGGGGCGCTCTTGGAAGGACACTGTTCGTGTTCACAGGTGGCGTCCAGTCCGTTCTATACCACTTGCTCTCCCCGGCATCAGTCCCTGCCAGATGAAACCAAGGTGGAATAACTATGAAGTCTTCCCCACAGTCAGTCTCTGTCATTGTCAAAGTCAGTTTTCAGACTGCTGCGGTTATTCCTGGGGGTAATCAATAAATCATGTCATCACCTTCACCCCTCGCAAAGGGGGGTGGGCAAAGAGAAGGCCCCTCATCATCAAGGAAACAGCATTCCCACTGCCAGAAATGAAAGAGAAGATGCAGCAATCAATCCTGTCATCTGAAGCCTTAAAACTTAAACATCTTAACTGGATGTAAAGTCACGGCTCAGAGGGTGGCCCAAATGCATACCAATACCTCTCCTCAGGCTCACTCAGGAGCACTAGCGGGAGGATGAAAGAGACTCGGGCCTTGCAGCTTACCGCAGTACAGAGGACAGCTTTAAGTGACTGTGCCTCGCTCCCTGCAGGATGCTGGCGGAGGAATATGAGTTAGAGATAAAAGTGAAATGGCAGCTAGTGCTAAAGATTCAATAACACGCAAAAAAGTTTTTCTGTTTCTGTTGTTGATGTTGTTTTAGTGGTAGTAGCTGGTGAGAATTCATGTAAATCAAAGATGTTTTCTCTTTCATTTCTGTTAGGAGAGCAGCACAGGAGAAGGAGAAAGCAGCATGTAGTGTTTGATGAGGGCACATGGTTGCTTAGCCAGAGTTTGTGGTGGCTCATGGATGCTTAAGACAAAAAGCTGGGGATAACGGGAAGTTGTGTATCCCTTGCCTTAAAATATTTTACAGCAAGGGCCAGTGGATTGCATCCAAGACTGACAACCTGAATTCTATTCCATGCGATGGAAGGAGAGAGCTGTCTCCTGCAAGCTGTCCTCTGACCTCCACACGTCCATCACACACACACACACACACACACACACACACACACACCATAAACGTCTGCATTTTTTTATTGTTTTTAAGGGGGGGGCGCTGTAGAGCACTTGATGCTCTTGCAGAGTACTGGAGTTCAGTTCCAAGGTGGCTCACAACTGCAGACCTGGGGATCCAACGCCATCTTCTGGCTCCCATGAGTACTGCATACACATGGGGCCTTTATATAAATGTAGACCAACATTCCATACACTTAAAAAAGCTTAAAAAAAAACTTCTTTTAGGCAGAAGCAGAAACAGTTTTTCCCAAGTAACCAAATCCCAGACCGTGTGAATCCCAGCATCCGGTCTCACCCCATCTAGTAATATGGGGAGCAACATTCCGCTTTAAGAAGAAAGTTGTACTTTGGGCTTCCATGGTGCATTTTATGCTTTTCCCCATAAGAAACTAATGGTGCTGTCGCTTTCTCCACCTTAGATGTGGAAAAGTCATTGCCCAAGAGAGGAGGACTCCATCTGCGTGGAGACAAAACTGCGCGTGTGTCAGCCGCTGCCTCTGACGAGTCCGTGGCTGGAGACAGTGGTGTCTACGAAGCCTCCATGAAACAGTAAGGCCCTTGATGCCTGCCAGCCAGGCTTGTGCATACTGTAAGGTGGACCCTACAAGAAGCATCCTGCCAGCTGTGGAAATGACAAGCAGATTGCTGTACTCAGAGGTGGCTGACCTGAGGTGTCAGACACTGCTTTTTCTGAGAATCTTGGTGATTGGCCAATGCTTGTTTTACACATGGAATGTCTGTTTAGACACATGTCTGGAAGCCCCTGAGATAGTGGGATAGCCTCCCAGGACTCAGGAAAGCCAGGCATCGCAAAAATTGTTCCCTAAGCTCAAAGTCAGATTTTTGATGGAGTTGAGGAAGCCTGAATGAGTAGCTTCCACGGGACTCAGTTCCACGGAAGTGGGGTGGGAGGGCCGCTAATGTCGCCCTTGAAAATGAGGGAAGGCAAAAATCCGCCTCACTGACTATCTGCCTGCTCCCACCTAGGCCTGGTGAAGTGGAGGACACGCCCTACAGTGAAGAGGACATCACCATTGTGGAGACTGCCCAGGTGCAAATAGGACTCAGGTAAGCCGGGGAGGGCGGGGGAGGGGTCTGGCCAGTGGCTGTGGTTACTCTGCTTGACTCTTTGTCTCTTTTGACAGATACGACACAAAAAGCTCAAGTTTCATGGTGTTTATAGCACAGCTCCGAAATCTCCATGCCTTCCTTATACCTCATTCTTCAAAAGTGTAAGTTAAGTCAGAAAAAGACAGCAACAACAAAAACAAACTGAGGAGCTTAAAACTTTCTCCCCACAATAATTCTGCATATGAGCAAACAGTTCATCCAAATGAAGATATGGCGGGAGGGCAGGCGACTCGAGAGATGGCGTAGTGGGTAAGTGTTCCTGCTGCTCTTCCAGGGGACCCACATTGGACAGCGTCCAACCACCCATAACTACAGTTCCGGGGCACCAACGCCCTCTCTGGCCTCTGCAGATACCAGCAATGGATATACACAGATACACATAGTTAAAAACAAAATAGATCTTTTTAAAAAACAAAACAAAAAAACGAAGGCTATAGGGAGAAATAGCCAGGCTGATTGCATCTGAAGCAACCATAGGTAAAGATGAGGAGGGAAATGTGGGCAAAGGGAACTAGGATTAACTCTTATCCCGATGGCCATGGTTAAGATTAGGAATCAAAACTTTATATACAGTTTCTTTCCTTGACAGAGGTTGTTTTGGGGCCTGATTGCTGGAAATAGGATTTCAATTTTTATTATGGCATAGTCGTGGCTACTGTCAGTTTGGAGAGATTTTTCCTGATGTCACCCATGGCTGTGTAGTGATTACATCAAGCCTCGCCACAGAAACAGTCTGTGTTGCATGAAGGAGCGTGTCTTCACCATCTGTGGTCACTTCCAGTGACCAGTGATTGCTCAGCTACAGTCCCATTACCATGTTAGACCAAGAACTCCATCCAAGTGCTGATGTAATTCCCCACCACGCGTTGCCTCGGGGCTATTTCCTGAGAAAGCTGTTTTCTCAGCTCCATCCCGCCAGTCTCCTCTAGAGCCGGGGTCTCAGTGACTGAGAAGAGCACTTAGAGGTGTGACACAGAGTACCACATCTGCATGTCTACCTCCTTTCTGAACACAGCAGGACAGAGACAGGTAAAACAGCAGCGGGGTGATCCCCATGACTCCATATCCTGCCAGGCAGCTGTTTCCTTAATGGCAGTGTCTTCCTCAGAGGCTAGGACTTTAACGGGGTACGTGTAAGAGTCCTAGGTGTTTACTAACAGGCTACTGTTAAGTTCACTTCCCTACCGATTGGGGGGAGTGCACAGGTGGAGCTGGATGGAGATTGTTCGGTGCTAACAGAAAGGTGGTTGAGTATTCATGGACAGTCACTGAGGCATCCTGGGATCCAGGAGGAGAGCGGGCTCGGAGGACTTTCTGAAGTAGAGCATGGGGACCCACTTCATCATGATTTGCAAGGGAGTAGGCGTGAGGTGGCCCCGGCTGCGTCAACACAGAGCACATTTGGGGAAGACAGGCTCATTTCCAGTCCGTGTGATAGCGGAGAATAAGCTCCTTAATAAGCCAGGTCAGAGTTAGCAGGACTGGGGGACGAAACAGTGAGAACCCACTACTGTGTGCCCGCACCCATGTCCTACATATATGTCTGTGTACCATGTGTGTTCCTGGTGTCCAAGGAGGCCAGAAGAGGGCATCAGATCCCCTGGAACTGGAGTTATAGATGGTTGTGAGCCACTGTGCGAGTGTTGGAAACCAAACCCAGGTCCTCTGCAAGGGCAGTAAATGCTCTTAACTGTGGAGCCATGTCTCCTGCCCATGTGCCTTCTTTCTCTTTATTTTATTTAAAACATTATTTTATGTGTATGGACCTTTGCCTGCACAAATGTTTGTGTACCTTGCGCAGTCTGTGCTGCCCATGGAGGCCAGAAGAAGGCATCAGATCCTCCAGAACTGATGCTGTAAGCAGCCATGTGGGTGTGGGACCCTGACCTGAATCCTCTGGTAGAGCAGCAAATACTTGTTGAACCACTAAGCCATCTCTCCAGACACCATGCCTTTTTTCTTATGTACATACAAGTGTTCTATCTTGTCTACATAGCCACCATCCTAGGCCCTTCATGAGGCATGGCGGCCCCAGGGTAAGGCAGGAGCCAGCTGGCCGTGTAGCATAGACTTCTGCTCCCCATTCACTTATCTACTTGATCTGAACTTCCTGAGATGTAGCAGCGTTTTCTTAAAGTCATATGTAAGCCTGAATAAGGACATCGCCAAAAGTATCAACCATACACCATGTTCTGAAGTGTTCTGTAGTTCCAAGTCTTTGAGGACTTTGTTGTCCTTTCTTTAGCTTTAATTTTCTTCCTTCCTTCCTTCCTTCCTTCCGTCCTTCCTTCCGTCCTTCCTTCCTTTCTTTTCCTTCCTTCCTTTCTTTTTATTTCTTTTACTTTAAACTTCATTATGTAAAAAGTTACAAATAAAAAGCATCACCTATCAAAGTTTGCCAGACCCAGAGACCATATAACTCAATAAACTTCTATGCGGTTAGAGAAGCCATACAGAACAGGAGCCGTGGAGCCTTCACACTGGATTTTATACTTTCCGTATTGAAGATATATTTATGTTCTTAGCCACCAACAAAAATGAAAAATCTATACTGGAGTTAGAACTTATACGTCCTCTCTCATGAGCCATGTTCCGTGCCCACATTCAGTCCTTCCTCTCCCCTTACTACTGAGCCTTTCTTGTGCGCTTTTCTACCTGGTAACCTATGCCCACAGGTACATTCGTTTGTGTATATACATGTATTACTGGTTAGATTCCACATGACTGAGAGCCTGTGGGTTTTTCTTTCTTTCTGAAATTGTGGGACCTTGCTTAATACTGTATTACTAAGTCCATCCATTTTCCTGAAATTTTTGTGATTTCATTTTTCTTTAAAGTTGAATAGTTAGTCCTAGTTGTTCATCAACACAAGAATGGATAGTGTGTGTGTGTGTGTGTGTGTGTGTGTGTGTGTGCGCGCGCGCGCGCATGCACGCGCACTATTCATCTCTAAAGGAAAATAGTTTTAGGTTTTTGAGACAAGATCTCATATATTCTGAGCTAGCCTCAACACCTGATCCTCCTGTCTCCACCTTCCAGGTGCTGGATCAAGGCTATGGACTACCATGCCTGGCTCTAAAACTTCTTTTTGACACTAATTATGACAAATTAAAGCTGGTGTTCAGGTAGTTGGTGACAGCTTGCCTGGCTCTGGTCGGAGAGGTCTCTCTTGTAGCAGAGTGGGCAGCAAAGTGCCCTTATCTGTAGTTCCTTTGCTTTCTCTCCTCCTCTTCCTTCCCCTTCTCTTCCTCCTCTCCCTTCCCCTCCTCCTCCTGTTCCTCCTCCTCTCCCTCCTCCTCTTCCTCTTCTTCCTTTTCCTCTTCCTCCTCCTTTCCCTCCTTCTCTTTCTTCTTAATATTTATTCATTTTGATTTTATGTATAGGGGTATTTTGCCTGCACGTATGTCTGTGTGCCACATGCATACCTGGTACATACAGAGGCCAGAAGAGGGCTTTGAGTTCCTGGAACTGGAGTCACAGATGATTGTGAGCTGCCATGTGGGTACTAGGAACTGAACCCAGGTCCTCTGGAAAAGCAGTCCCTGCTCCTAGTCACTGAGGCATCTCTTCAGTCCCTGCCTCCGCTTCTGGACCTCATCAGCTCAGCCCTGTCGCTGTGGAAGCATCTTGAGATGCGCCAGACACTTAGATGGTGGGTATAGAATAGCTGAGACCTGAAGGCTGAAGGGACAGACACCACCACTTCCTTCCATTGCCCTCTCTAACATGAAGGCAGAAGGAAGAAAGATTCGTTTCTCCTGAGCTTGCAGCCCTGGGGGGAGCCGAACCCTTTCATCAGCTGCCACTGGAGTTTAGTGCTGAATCTTTGTCGTCAATGTTGACATAAAATTAAAAATAACGAGAACTAAAAGTTTTGAGTCTGAATTTACAGGTTTCTCTAGCTAGAAAAAGAGGGGCATATTTTAGACTATCAATTAGACAAGAATGGGAATGGGATGCGGGGAGATTCAGTGGATTTCTCTTTCTGAATTAGGAGGAAACTCCCTCAGGCTGCTTCCCGATCCGTGAGTCTTTATAGATTGTCAGAGAACTCCCGGAGGAGCAGGGGGTACGGTGTCGCTGTGCTTCACACTCTTGCCTTTGCGTTTGCACAGCATGAGGTCCTTCTGCGCCTTTCGCGGCTGTTGCGGTTGCGCCTCCCCTCCGGAGATGCTAGACAATGATATTTTGGAGCTGCGGCTGCATCTGTTTTCCATCCTGTTAACAATATGCTCCTTAGCCTCTCTTTGTCTCTGGTAGGGTAATATATTCCGCTCCTCGGCTTGTTTGTCAACAATCTCTTATTTGATGATCAGGATGAGGGTTCTTGGAGAGAAACCCACCAGTGCCCGCCTTAGCATGTTCCCACCTCCCCACCTCAGAAACAACTTACTTATAAGTTGATGTTGAGGGGGAGGGTGTCAGCCCTGAGACTCTTCCCCCTCTCTCCCCACCATGCCTTTGCTGTAGTCTCATGGTGATGACAGGCTGGATCTTTGGTGTTTCAGGGCCCAGCGGGCACGGGTGAATAAGAACAGAATGTCTGCAGCTGCGCATGGGCGCACTATGGCCGGGCACTTTGATCTGATAATGCTCGCCGTGTTTCCTCGTTTTCTCTCTCTGGCGGCTAATTGCAGAGGACAGCTGCGGACCCACGGTAACCAAAGCACCCAGGAGATTCATTCCGTTCTTGTTCTTCGCAGGTATTTTAGGGTTGCTGTGCTTCCCTCCTCAGCGGATGTGAGCTGCCTATTTCGAACAAAAGTCCATCCACCCACGGAATCCGTGCTGTACAATGATGTGTTCAGGGTGGCCATCTCTCAGGCGGCCCTGCAGCAGAAGACCCTGAGAGTGGATCTTTGCTGTGTCAGTAAACACCGCAGGGAAGAATGCCTGGTAGGCACCTTCCTATCGCTCTCAGAGAACACTGTCTTATTACGGCTCTGCCAGCAACAGCTACTGCAGTTTTTCTTTTAACATTTATTTATTTATCTGACTACGGCTGTGTTCATGTTCCAAGGCACGCACGTGAAGGAGAAAGGGTAACTCAGGGACTTAGTTCTCTCCTGTCACCATGGAGGTTAAAACACAAGTCACCAGTACCTTTACCCATTCAATCATCTCACCAGCCCTGGTTTTCTTTTTTTCTAAAATGTTTTTCTCCCATTCCAGATTTTTAAAATCTGCTTATAAGTCATAAGGTTCCGTAAAGCTTGACTTTCCAGACCTGCTCTTTGAGTATGGGAGAACTTTGCCTCTGCCACGTCTATCTCTGTGAACGGGGCTTGCAGCTCCCGAAGCTAACCGCGGATGTGGAGTGCTCCTTGAAGGTTTAAAACCTGGAACAGTATCGTGGAAGTCTGATGGTAGAAAATATGATTCCTTGGCTGGGGAGATGACTCGGAGGTTAAGAGGATTGACCACTCTTTCAGAGGTCCCAAGTTCAATTCCCAGCAACCACATGGTGGCTCACAACCATCTATGTATGATGAGGTCTGATATCCTCTTCTGACTTGCAGACAAAACACGCAGACAGCACACTGTATAAATAATAAAGGTTTTTAAAAAAAGAAAAGAAACTTGATTCCCTCCATTTGGGGATGAACAGCTACCAAAGTGGGGTGCTCTTGCCAACGATGGAGCTGGGGATCCACAATCATCCCATCGCATTCACTGACTCAAACTGAACTAAGCAAGACCCTGAGTGTATGGTTCCTGTGCTCAGCCCATTTGCCTCTCCACCGCATTAGGTCAGCCATAGGGTTACTACTGGTTGAAACATGTGATTAAATGGGATCAGGGACAGAAACTGTGTGTTTAGCGTGTCCTGCACAGTTGGGCTTCCGTCTCCCTCTAGATGGCCTGCTCAGGTGCAGGCAACCAGACAGGAGCCCACGTGGTCAGACCAGCCGTGTCTTTCTGGTCCAGTAGGAGACAAACTCATATTTAATGATGACCACAGGGAAAGGATGATAGTTTCCCTTTTCTTCCATATTTTGAAGAAAAGAGAGAAATACTGTCTCATAATAAAATTAGAATGGCACCAAGGTCGTCCTGTTGGCCTCAGACAGGCGTCAGTGCCGTGGCCACCATGCTTGCTTGCTGTGTGTCGAAGGCTCCAGTAAGATCACTAAATTGTAATGTGTTCCTCGATACCTCTCGGAGCAGTGGGGCCGAGATTAGACTCTCACTGTGGCTACGTGAGGCTCTGAAGTTGCTTTTATCATTACTTTTTTTTTGCAGTCTGGTAACTGACGGATTAAAAAAAAACCTCTTGCTACATACTCATTCAAGAGCAAAGCAGTCTCAGTTTCTCAATAATGAATGTGTTGTCATAATCAAGTCCCTCTTCTGACATATTAAAAGAAGCACTTTGGTTTCTACTTAGTCATTTATTCATTTATTTTTTAAATTCCATTGAAATATAATTCCACATTTAGAAAGAGTTATGTGCTTACTCATTGAGGAAATTAGTTGGGAAAGTTTAGTATTACAGAATAATCCCCAGGATTGCTAGTTTGATTGGGCATTATTTCTTAACTGAATCATGGCTAAAGATATCAATATACCCAGGTTTTTAAAAACCCACCGGTCCTGTACAGGGCAGATGGCTAGCCCCATGGGCCAAGAGCCTGAGGATCTGGGTCCAGATCACAGCACATGCGTGGTGCATGCCTTCAGCCCGACACTGGAGGGTAGAGGCGGGTGTATCCTAGGACCGTGACTCCAGGTTCAGCGAGAGACCCTGTGTATTGCAAATAAATAAACAATAGTGGAGAAGAAATTGAGGGAACTATCACAGTCATCCCGCGTCTACTGCACATAGGTGTGTACACGCACAAAAGTGCACGCACGCACACTCAGGCACACACAGGAGCACAAACACAGGTGCATGTGTGCGTGTTCACGTCCACACACACATACTTGCACCCAGACGTACACAAATGCACAGCCCGTGCTTTATGTCACCAGTCGTGTGTCAAATCTGCTTTAAGGCAAGCTCGCCCAGTCATCTTTAGTCTTACCAGAGAGAACAAAGACGAATGGACATGTTTCATTTCTCTCCGTTTATTTCTTCCATTTTCCCGCAGGCTGGGACTCAGATCAGCCTAGCAGATCTACCGTTTTCCAATGAGATCTTCATGCTGTGGTATAATTTACTTCCTTCCAAGCAAATGCCTTGCGAAAAGAATGAAGAAAAGGAGGCGCCTGTAGTCTACTCAGAGGAGCCGGGCCTGGGTCCTATAGACCTGGTGAGTCACCTGGAAGGCAGCAGAGCACAGCTGAGAGGCGGAAGTGCAGTGTGGGCGCCCGCTGTGGAGGCCAGCGGGCCTGCTGTCACTCATGAGTTGTTCTTCCTCTTTCTCCGCCCCTCTCTGCTCCCAGCATCCTAAGAAGAATCCTTTCCAGGGTAGATTCAAATGGGACCTGCATTATACCTCCACAAATAAAAGAGAGTATTTGAGGCTTTGGGTTTTGGTTTTTCAGGACAGGGTTTCCCTATCTAACAGCCTTGACTGTCCTGGAGCTTGCTTTATAGACCAGGCTGGGCTCGAACTCACAGAAATCCACCTGCCTCTGCCTCCTGAGTGCTAGGGTTAAAGATGGACTCTGCCAACCCCCTTCCCCAGAGGCTTGAGTAGAGTAGTATTGTCATGGTCCCAGGAGAAGCCCCTTTACCTATGGCGTCTCTGGCACTTCTCCCTGCTCTGTAAGTTTGCTCATTCTGGGCATTTCATATAACTGAAGAAACGCGAGGTTTGCTCTCCTCCTACCCACTGTTGAGGCCCGCCTGTCTGGGGCAGTGTTAGTGAACCGCTCTAGTGCACGCGTTCCAGTTGGCTTCCCCCTCCTCCACCAATGTGCACTGAGGGCTTTCTACATCTGGATTCCTGTGAATGGGGCTGCCATGAAAACTGGTCCCCAGTATCCGTGGGGACATGTGTAGGCTGCACTTGCCAGGACGCATAGTAATTATCCTCAAAATATATAGAGTAGTTGCCTTTTTACTATTAAATTATAAAATGTGTATATGTGCAGAAAGTGTGTGTGTGTGTGTGTGTGTGTGAGAGAGAGAGAGAGAGAGAGGCTGACCTACAGTATGTTATATAGAACAGGCTGGTCTCTAACTCTGCTATCCTTCTGCCTCAGCTTTTCTGGGTGCTGCTTCATAGGTGTGTGCCCCCACATTCAAATTTCTGTCTTGGTACAAGTCCCTTTTCAGGTAATTTTATTGCAGAGACAAGGTGTCTTTTCATTCTCTTGTTAGCAGTACGGAGGCTTATTATGACTTTGATGAGAATGCACCTTGTCTTTTTCCCACCCTCGTCCTCTCCTCTGCTTTTGTTCTGTTTCTGTCATAGCTAAGACTAGCATCGTGGCCTAAAGATTTATCTAATGTCATCTTTATAAAGTCTTTCATATAGACATCTGATCCATTTGGGTTATTTACACAGCCTGTGAGGAGGGGGGCAGATCGTGTCTCTTTCATTTGTGTGCGAATGTATAATTGTGTCTCCCGGAGCTTCCCACTGGTGGGATTCCATGCAAACTCAGGTCTTCTTGTTTTCAGGGCCAGCGCTTGCCCAACAGAGCCCTTCCCAGCCCTCTTGCCACTCACTGCAGTATTGTGATATATGTTGTGGCCAAGGCACATAGGCAAGAAATCCAGGTGACCGACAGGGCAGAGACAACAGTTCCCTAGCCAGACAGCCTCACCTGCTTGGCAAGCCATGGGCCATGGGGCCAGGGAGAGACTTTGTCTCAAAACAAAGCAAAACCCAGCAAAGTCTCATGAGGAATGCCAGCCAGGGTTGTCCTTAGCTCTATGAGCCCTTGCACACATGTGCAAATGCACGCACACAAGGAGTGGCAAAAGCAGACATCTTTATCTTATTCCTGATTTTGTGTGTTTGTGCCACATCACGCATGCATGAGTGCACGGTGCCTGTGGCGGCCAGAAGAGGGCATCAGAGCCCCTGGAGTTGTGAGCAGCTTGATCGGGATTCTAGGGACTCAGGTCCACCCATCTGGAAGAGCATCAAGCGCTCTCAGTCACGGAGCATGGCTCCAGCTCCAGCTCCTAATTTTACGGGGAAGTTTTCACCATGGAATGATGAAGGATTTTCAGACATACCCTTTATCAGACTGAGAAAGACTTTTTTTCTTAGGTACTTAAATGTTTTTATCATTAAAGACTTCTTGAATTTGCCAGTTACTTTTTTTTTTTTAATCTGCTTGGATTTCCATATAGTTCTCCATCCTTCATTCAATTGCTGTTGTTTTAGTTTAGGCGTTAAATTAATCTTGCATTCCTGGGGTAAATCTTACTTGATTTTTTTTTTTTTTGCAGTTAAAAAAAATGTACTTGCCAGTTTGAAAGTCACAGACAGTTTACTGTTCTATAATTAGATAAAGAGAAAGAAGAAGAACCCTTAGGTAGCAGGAATAAGCAAGAGTCTTCCACAGTCTGGCATTTGAGAAAGATGTTCAGTTACTGTGCATTTCCATTATTTTTCCATGGCAGAACATAGGGCAGAGACTTGGGAACTCGCATGCCTGAAGCCAGGTTACTCTTATGTTCCATAACTATATTGTTTGCAGGACTGTTGTTGCTACAGAAGTTGGCTGTGCCCCAGACAAATGGAGTGCTAGTCTGTTCCCACAAATCTTTATCCCAGTCTTCATCACAAGGGGGGCACTGCCATGTGCTCTCAGCCAGAGTCTCTTGTCCAAGGTTCCTGGTTTGGTTGACCACATCCTGCTCAATACAGCTCTTGTCATCACAGCTGGAGATGTGATGACTGATTTCAGCCCGGGGAACCTGGTGCCGAGCATTGAAGGGACAAGTAGCCAATTTGTTTGCGACATCAGGATGATTCTTTCTGCACTTGATAAGATGATAAGGAAACCTGCAGGCCCTGATCTGGTGATTTTTATCATACGGGCACTGTAATAACTTTTCGGGGTCCAGGGAGTCGATGTAAGTGTCTTCCATGCTGATGGCAAAGGAGTCCTGTTCAAGTGCTCAGCTCAGACGCTCGCCCCACAGCCAACTTCGCCTTACCCTTACTTGATTTAAAAACAAAACAAAACAAAACCAAAAAAGCCCTAATATGTGTGCTTGCTAATACTTTGATGATGATTGCTTTCTTGTGTCTATTTCCTATAATGTCTTTGTAGTTATCTCTCTCTCTCTCTCTCTCTCTCTCTCTCTCTCTGTGTGTGTGTGTGTGTGTGTGTGTGTGTGTGTGTGTGTATCCACTATGTGTGCGTGTGTATTGAGGCCAGAGGACAACCTCAGGTGTCAGTCATTTTAGGCATGATCCATCCTGGTTTGTTTTTGTTTTTAAACAATTCTCTCACTGGAACTGGGGTTCACCAACTTGGCAAGGCTGGCTGAGCAGCTAGCTGGGAGATCCAGCTGTCTTTGCTTCCCCAGTGCTGGGATTACAAGTGGGCATGGACTTTGAATGGTGTTGGGGGTCAAACAAAGGTCCTCATGTTTGTACCGTAAGCACTCTACCAACTGAGCCATCTCCTCTGCCCTCAGAGAACGGGCACTGAAGCAGTCCCTCCTCGTCTCCACTTAGGAGGAATTTGGGAGAATATTGCTACTAATTACTTAAAAGTCTGATGGGTCCAGCAGCCACATGGGCCTTAGCTGTGAGAAGTCCGGTTCAGAATTCAAGGTCTTATTTGTTCTGACTCTCAGAGTGTTGGTCTTGAATTTGTTTTGGTGTCTTTGCCTTTTTAGGAATATTCTTATTTCACAAGATCATCTTAATCTGTTCATATAACAGCTTGTATTTTCTCATAATCAAATTCCTGTCTGAAAGGTTATAAGAGGCTGAGCTGTTAAAAGCCAGGCCCATAACCAAAACACCAAGAGACCCTACCTCGTTCATGCCAAAGCTCAGTATTGCAAACTTCCCCGCCGTTTTTCCTGATCAGGCCAGCTACAGATTTGCTAATGTTTTGAGCATTTCTGGAGAACCAACTTAGATTTTACTTGCCGTGAGTTTCCTCCTTGGTCTGCTATTCCCTTTCTTCTACTTGCTCTAGGATATGTTCTTCAGGTGGAAAGTTGGGCTCTTGGTTGATGCCTTCGTCTTGTTAAGGTAAATGCTTACAGCCCTAAGTACCCTGACAGCTCCGCTTGAGCATCCCAGGTGTCTCTTCTCTCATCTCAAAGTTTTCTCAACTAACTGCCTTAGGCTTCTGCTTGCTTAGGAAGGTTAATTTCTGCATATTCCTTAATTTCTCATATTCCCTTCTGCTGATGGTCCTTAATTTTATCCCAGTGTGACCAAAAAGCCACACTTGGCATGACTCAAGTCCTTTTGAATTTATTGAAGCCACTTTTATGGCCTCGTATATACTAGAGAATGTCCTGTGTACACTTGAGAAAGATTCTTGTTGAGAATGTTCTACGGGCGTTTGTTAGTCCTGCCTAGTTTATAGTGCAGTTACATGAATTTTACTTTTTACCCTCTTCTAATCTCTATCTCTGGTGTTTATTTTACGGGAAAGGGCGGTGGAGAGATTTGTAACAAAGTGCACAAATCTTACCCAAACAGTCAGAATTTATGGCAAAGCAATGACACCTGTGTAACTCCGACTCACATTGAATCACAGTGTGTTTCTGTTGCCTCAGAATCTTCGCTTGTCCCCAGTCCTGCTGTTACCACAGTCTCCCAAAGGAAACTTCCCCCATTCCTTGTGTCTGTCCTACGTGACTTTGAGTTTGTTGTGATTGAAGTCTGCTCCTGTGTCTGGCATCTTTTGAAATTCGCTTGTTACTCTATGTAGTTACAGCTCATGTACTCTCATTGTATCTCAGTTTATCTGTTCTATTGCTGCTGAGCATCTGAGTTGTTCCTAATTTGGGCTTATTGTGGTGTTGCTATTAATTTGTGTACATATAGTTGACGAAACTCCTGCTGTCTTCTTTCACTGTTTTCGTGTGTGCACAGCACTAGCTTGGGTCTTTCCTTGTCACTTCCCTGAATATAAAATGCATACTGCTAAATGGGAGTTACCTTTTGCAAAGCGTATATTCTAGTTTTTAACTCATTTTCTTTTATATTTTGTTGTATTTTGATCTGAGTCCGTACGCCTGGAAATGAGTATTGGAAAATAAATTTCTCACGCTTGTCTGTTACTTTCTGTGACTTACCTTTCCAATTCCATAATGTCATTTTTGGGTGAATGGAAAGGCAAGTCTAATGAAACTTTGCCTGATCATTTTTCCCTTTAGGCTCCATCCTTTCCTTTTCAAGAACTCGCCTGCAGGGTGTGAGGATTTTTGTTTGTTTGTTTGTTTTTTGGTTTTTTGTGGGATTTCAAGACAGTATTTCTCTGTGTAGCTTTGGATTCTGTCCTGGAACTCGCTCTGTAGAGCAGATTGACTTCTAACTCATTAAAATCCACCTGTCTCTGCCTCTCGAGTGCTGGGATCAAAGGCGTGCACCACCGCCACCCAGCTAGGATTTTTTTTTTCTTTCGGATTTAGTGTGTAATCCTTCTGAAAATAATCTCTGCATAGGATGTGAGGTGACCGGTCAGGGCTCCTCTCAGCCTCCTGGTAGCCGACTCATCTGGCATCATGGGAGCTTGGGACATAGTCATCGAAGGGTTTTCTTCCTATGTGTCTATGTACTGTCTCGACCTTGCCATCCATCCCTGGAATGTGTTCTTGCTTCCCTAGTCTCCTCATGCTGCTCTCAACTCTCTTTGCTGTTTAATTGATTGGTTTTTAATTTACATAATTTGTGTTTGGTTCTTAATGTTTGGTTCTCTTTCAGTGTCTCCGTTTCCATGCTGTTCACGTTACTGACCATTACACACTGTGGGTGACTTCCTTGTCTGGATCCTGAGCTGATTTCTTTTCTTTACTGATCTGCTGATTTGAACCCTCTAGATGAACACTGTTTCTTTTCAGAAGGACCCTGGGGTCCTTTTCTGGCATGTCAGCTAACTCACCCTGTGTCGGGTGCTGGGGTGTCTTGGTGGAGTGCTGCCATGCTGGCGGCTGGCTTGTGCCGAGACATGTCGTACTGTACCCTTCTGTTTCACCACGTCCTCCCCTCTTCTGTTTTTCCCTCCTTTACCCACTGCTTCGTTCCATCTTCATAAAAACTCCTGCTATTGCTCAGATACTGCTTTGAGCGGAGGGAGGAGCTGACCGAGGTAACAGGTGGGATGGGATGCCAGTCCCCCATCACCTGCAGTGGAGGACACGTGAGCACCACACTGTGTCCCCCGTAGGGCCTTATGATGCTGGCTGGGGGAAATGTTGTTTATAGTCTTTTTAGGCTAAGTAGTGAGGGGGGGGGGGAGCAGAAAATAAAAATGAGAGGAAAGTGTATGGCTGGAGGGTTAAAACCCAGCAGAAAATGCTGTGTATTATGTTTGGAAAAAGGAAGGACAGACATAAAAGCTTTTCCGTGGTTGTACCAACTACAACTAAAGTACAAAAACATACACAATAAAAATTTAACAATAGTTAAGATTTAAAGCAACCTTCCTAAATCTACAATCATTTAATGCAGTTCTTCATGTTGTGGTGACCCCCAGCTATAAAATTATTTTTATTGCTGCTTCATAACTATAATTTTTCTACTGCTATGAATTGTAATATAAACATCTGTTCTCTGATGGTCTTAGGAGACACCGTGAAAGGGTTGACCTCCAAGGGGTCATGACCCACAGGTTGAAAGGTTGAAACTGCTTTTTTTCTTTCTCTTTCTTTTTTTCTTGCTTTCTTTTTTTTTTTTTTTTTTTAAGACAAGGTTTCTCTGTAACAGCCCTAGCTGTCCTGGAAGGAGTAGTATCTTTAAAATAAAAATAAGAAGGCAGTAAGATGAACTAGAAAGTACTGTGCCCTTTGTCTGTGTGTTTCCCCGTTGGAGAAGCGCGGGTTTTTTCCCCTTTGCTTGTTTTTCTAATCAGACGCTGCAGGTTGTGACTAGGAGAGCTGCTAGTCCCGGCATTTCAGCTAAATTAAGCCACTGTGTCCTCCGGAGGAGGTTTGTGGTCAGACTGTTTTCTGCCAGGCTTCCTCAGTCTGATTTCCTCGGAGTGAGCGTTACCGCCCTGTGCCTGGTGTTTGGGTGCTCGGTGGGTGTGCAAACCCCATAGAGCCCCCCCACCTGTGTCGCCTTTGTTCAGTCCAGCAGGATGCTGCCTCAAGTTCTGCCACCAGCTTCCTGTGGCCCTGGTCTGAGGGTCCCTGTCTAACTTGTCCTTGTCCTGGCAGTGGCATGGTATCAGAGGGTGGAGAGCATCAAGGCTCAGCCGACTTCAGACTCCTTTATCAAACTGGGTCTCCACAGCCTGTGCTGATCTTGATCTGCGGGGTACTGTTCGGTGGTGCGGACCCGTGGCCCTCAGACTTCCATAACGCGCTCCTGCTTTTCCTCACGGCGCACTCAGCTCAGCCTCTGGTGTCAGGTTCCAAGGGTGCAGACTGCTCCCCGGTTTTCTGTCCCCTCAACTCTCAGGGTGATCAGTGCCCAAAGTCCTTGAACACAGTTCGTGTGTGTGTGTGTGTGTGTGTGTGTGTGTGAGAGAGAGAGAGAGAGAGAGAGAGAGAGAGAGAGAGAGAGGGAGGGAGGCTGGGGCCCCAGTCATCTCGGCAGAGCTGTCCCCGTTGGTGGCTGTTTGTCATGACTTCTCTCCCATCCTTTCTCAAGATCTCATAGACGTGGCCCTATAATGTCATATTACCCCTGGCCCAGGCTACAGTGTAAGGGTTCCTACACTGTGACGCCCCCTTTCTCCGTCCTCTGCTGGCAATGGGTCTCTTTTCTGTAACTGGCAGCAGCTTCATTCCAGGGCACCAATGGGCTTCTCTTTGTGTTCATCCTAGAAGAATAGTCCGTAATTTCATCAGTTTTTCTTTATACAGGTTGTAAAAGCTTGATTGCTGTCTCTGAAAAGCTGCTGTGTCTGGATCACTTCTGGGTCTGCCTCTGTTGTCGGTTGTTTCTTTTGGCTTCTCGCCACCAGCAGTTAGCAGAACGCTGGCTGTTTGGATGAGGGATTGAAAAGCTCTGGCTTCTGGAGATGAGCTGAGGTTCTTCTGAAGGCAGACGACAACATGGGAAAGTCGCCTGCTACCTGGGGATTGTGAATCCCAAGTTTTCTCCCTCCAGAACCCTGCGAGGCATGAAATAGCTGCTACTGTCCAGGCGGCGAGCAGCTGGTTTTGGCTTTACTTCTGTCTTGCTCTGTACAGATGCAGCTTAGGAAAGGCAGAAGCCTGACTAGACACACCCTGGGTGACGTCCAGCCCAGCCGTACTGTGTGGACTGTCGTAGTAGCTCTGCATTCCATGGCAGTGGCCTGTGGGCCCGGAGTCCAGGCAGCCCATCTTCTTAGCCCGCGGGCCTCACGTCGAGGTTGCTAAATGCCTTTAGACTGGCAGTGATGGTCACCTCTCTTGTGTCTTTGCTTTCTCCGGGACCTCAGCCCTCCAGCCCCTACAGCCCTTGTCAAGTCTTCTCACTCTCGAACATCAGGGAGTTTGTATTTGTTTTTTATTTCATCGTGTTGGGCTTTCATGCTTGTTCGCAGTAGGAAAACCAAGTCTGGCACCAGCTGGCTCTTCACAGCTGGAAGTGGAAGCCTGCACCTGAGGAGTTTCTGAACGAACCACAGTCAGCGTGTCTGGTGTTAACTGCCACACGGTTTCTGTTCTGCAGGATGCCGTGTCAGCCTTGCTTGCAAGAACTTCAGCTGAGCTGTTGGCTGTGGAACAAGAACTGGCCCAAGAGGAGGAGGAGGAGGAGGGAGAGCCGAGGCCTAAAGAACAGCGGGTCCCAGGGGGAGACTGGTAAATGACCACGGCCCTTCTCGCTCAGATCGGGGCGCTCTTAGTTTCTCCGAGGCTTCGGGTCTTTACAGGCTTAGTTTATGGCAAACAACGTGACACCAGGGAGCGCTGGCTGTAGACTCTCCCTGGCCATTAGAGCGTTAGAGGAAGAAACGCAAGATAGTGGCAAAATCAGCAAAGCAACTGTGCTTTTTATTCTTGCTTCCGGTAATGTTTACTGCTTTCCTGTGCTTTTGTTTTTTATCTATGCTATCCATTTAGAAAGCTACGATACCGTGTTATAGAGCAGTGGCTCTTAACCTGAGGGTCAGGATGCCTTGGGGGGCCCAGCAACCCTTATACAGGGGCCGCATATCAGATGCCTTGCATATCTGATATTTACATTATGATTCACAACAGTACAAAATTTACACTTAAGAATTATCAATGAAATAATGTTATGGCTGGGGTCAGCACAACATGAGGAACTGTATTAAAGGATCACAACATTCAGAAGGTTGAGAACCATTGTTACAGAGTCATAGATAGTTTGATAAAAGTGGCCTTTTTCCTTTCCTTTCTCTTTTGATTAGGCATGTCGTTTAGGCAGAGTTGCTATTTAGAAAAGAGTGTCCAAGTGACCATTTCAGTATTGTCCCCTCCCTAATCCTTTCAGTCTCCTCCTCGGTGTCAGTGACCGTCCTTTAAGGATGCCCCTGGGGGGCTGGAGAAATGGCTCAGAGGTTAAGAGCATTGCCTGCTCTTTCAAAGGTCCTGAGTTCAATTCCCAGCAATCACATGGTGGCTCACAACCATCTGTAATGGGGTCTGGTGCCCTCTTCTGGCCTGCAGGCATACACACAGACAGAATATTGTAAGGATGCCCCTGTCCTGTATCATCTGTCTCTGCATGGGGAGGCTGTCTTCCCAGGTTTTCACTATCTTCTCCAAAAATAAATGTTAGTGATACGCAAAACAGAAGCATTTACTATCTTCCATATATAAGCACATTGGGATCAGATTCTGTGTACAGTCGTTGTACTGTTACGTGTGATTGGACTACTGTCAGTGTGTTTGTGTACATACTTGTATGTGTGTATGGTGTGTATGAGTTCATGCTAGAAATTCAGGGTGACCAAGGTCACAAATGTTGCTGTCAAGGACATTTGGAAGGAAGGGCTCCAGCAGTGATGTACAAAGGCGTGGAGACTCTCAGTGGGTGCCGTCTGCACCCGGCCAGGGATGTAAAGGGTTATCAGGGCATCTTAAGTGAACGATTCACCTCGCATTTCAAGGACTGTACTTAGCAGGCTGGGAAGGGGGCTGGGGACTCTCAGTTCGCTGTAGTCATCGCTTGCTCTCCCTCGTGCTCATTTCATGGCTAGACATTTAATAACTAGTCTGTGTCAATCTGCCAATATGTCACCGATTGCAATTAAGGCTTGACATTTAGAAGTCAGTGAAAAGGCTTCTTTCTATTCTTAGGACATGAAACTCAGCACAGCCTGCCACGATGCATAGCCTTCAAAATACTCGTATACACTCTGTGTAAATTGTGGTCGTGTTCCTCTAAAACATTTTCTGAAATTTTTATTTTATGCATATGAGTCTGCCTATACATGTGCACCACACACATGCAGTACCCTCAGAGGCCGGAAGAGGGAGTCTGCCCCTCTGGATCTGGAGTTACAGAGGGTTGTAAGTCACTACCTGGGTGCTGGAAACCAAACCTGGATCCTCTGGAAGATCAGCTGATGCTTTTCACTGCTGGGCTGTCTCCCAGCCGCATCGTCACGTTCTTGTCACCACCGAAATTCACCCACAGCTTTGGTTAATGGGCACGTGAGGCAGTGAGTCGTCATCTGACAGCTCAGCCACAGCCTTTACACAGGTCTGTGCCTGCCTGATGATGAACGCTAGAAGTAGGTGATCCTCATGTCTTAGCTAAGAATAGCCAACTGTTACATGATTAATTCTGTAACCAACCAAGTAATGCCAAGTTAGTGGATGTCATGTTTTTACATGCTGAAATTAATTTGTATGTGGTCCTTGAATATTTCTGTTGAAAATCTGGAGACCTGATCAAATTTTATAACTTTTAACTTAACATCAACATTGAAATTAACATTTTTGTGCCATACTCTGGTGATTTTACTCTGGAATCCTGGAACATACAATGAGAACTTACTTTCCTTGATCTACTCGGTTAAGAACTTTGAGGTGTCGCAGCAGGTCTTGAATGACTTGTATGAATCTGTTACTGCTCAGATTAGCATGCCCAGGCTCGCTGCATGGAGTATGCCTGCGGAGCAGAAGTAGCTTTTCATGTCTCTTTTGTTTTGTTTCACCGTAGCTTAGCGATGCTTAGAGAGGTCTCTGATGAAACTGTGGCCGCAGACGAGGCTGAAGTTCACTTGGCCAAGGACAGTCGCACAGAAGACCCCAATTCCTGCACTAATGGGCCCGAGACAAGTGAAGACCAGTGTAGGAAAAACAGCGAGCCTGCTGCAGACCCTGCTCAGCCACCAACTGGATTTCCCACCCTGGTAAATGTTTTGCTACACCCTCCTAAAGCAAAACCCAAATGTAGACGCCATGTACTCAAGGGGTGCTTGTCTTCTCTTTCGAGTACATCCCAAACCAGGATTTGGGCCCCAAAGCTGACTATGGAAGGCTTTTATGAGAATATCACCAAGAGCATTGAAAACACTTTACAGTTTTCACATGGGCTCAGAATATTAATTTTCCTTTGTATCTGGCAGAAGCAATGCTCACTACTTTATATCTCTTAAACGTGGGTGCTTGTTAAAAGGATTGTCTAGACTAGAGACACAGCTGGATTGGTCCAGTGTCTACAGCCCTGGATGTCATCCCCAGCATAGCTGTACCCCTGGAGCTCAGGAGAGGGATAGGCAGAAAGATTATCAGCTGTGTAGTGAGTTCAAGGCCAACTGAGATCTACAAGGCTCCATCTCAAAACAAACAATAACAGAAACAAGCAAAGCAAGGTGTGGTGATTCCTGTGATCCCAACCCTCATGAGAGTCAGGCCAGCCTGGGCTCCATGGCAAAACTCTGTCTCAAACAAGTATTTTTCTGTTTTAGAGACATCAGAGAGCAGGGGCTACTTAGTGGTATCAAGTTTCAAAATCTTACTTCAGTGTTAAACATGAAGAATTTGAAGTTCATCTTGGCTGGCTGGAGTTCCAGATGGAACCTTCTCTGAACGATAATGCTGACTTGGGCAGGCACAGGTGTGATGAGTCTTTCTCTGGCCTGCCAGCCAGCTCCCAAATAATGACATGGAGATTTCTTGTTAATTATGAAAGCTCAGCCTATAGCTTAGACTTGTTCCTAGCTAGCTCTTATAGCTTAAATTAACCCATATTTTTATTACTCTACATTCTACCACATGACTTTTATGTCTGTTCCATTCTATGTGTCTGACTCATTTGTAAATGGCTGGTTTCGCCCTCTTTCTTCTTCCCAGAGTCCTCTCTGTTTCCAGACCCCATAACATCTTCCTGCCTGGTTATTGGCTGTTTAGCTTTTTAATTGCACCAGTCCCAGCAATACACTGTTACACCATGTACAAATACACAAATAGCCATAACATCCCCCCCCTTTTTTTTTATTTTTTGGTTTTTTTGAGAAAAAGTTTCTCTGTAGTGTTGGAGTCTGTTCTGGAACTAGCTCTGTAGACCAGGCTGGTCTCGAACTCACAGAGGTCCACCTGCCTCTGCCTTCTGAATGCTGGCATTAAAGGCATGCGCCACCATCACTCAGTTCCATTTCCCCATTTTATTAAATTAAAAGGAAAGGTTTTAATTCTAACATAATAAAACTATATACAATAAGAACAATTATCAGTTAAATTACTTTCATAATGTCCAATTTATTTGTATTTGGCATATTTGGAGAAAAAACTATATTATCTATCTTATCTTGCTGAATTTAAAGTTTTGTACCAGACCATTTTTATCATAACTTATATTACCATTCTAACACTATCTTTTTAGACTTCAAATCATTTTCATAGATAAACAATTTAAACTTTTATGTCTCTCAACCTTATACACTTTGTATCTTTTGTGAATTCGGTAACAAGGAAAACTATAACTCATTTTCAACCCCATCAGAGACCCGAGAAGGGCGTAATATTACCTGAATAATCAGGAAGCAAACAATTTCCAAAACTGTAGAAATGGCAGAGGCAGCCGCTGCCTGGACAGTCACCCAGGGTTCCTCCGCAACATGGCGGCTCCATCTTCAACCTACAGGTCTAGCATATCTGACAGAATTTTCTATAAAGCTGGAATTTTGGAGGACCATCCTACCTTGTCTTGGCAAAATTCGGTGGTCACTTTCTTTTGTGCCCTGCTTGTCCAGTTTGCACAATATACTGCCAATAGTCAATGCAAGGGCAGTTTCTAGCTTTGCCACATTGAAAGCAAACTCTATATGATGGCTCTGTGATCCTCATCATCCTTTTTTGAAGTAAATTGATGCTGCCAGAAGCAGACATGTCTCACTGTCATGAGAAGCCTTATGTTATGAAAATGTTCTAAATGCCATATTCTGTAGGTCTTTGAAGTGTTTGAAGACCATCTATCCATCTAAAATATATTTCTGTATGACCTTGAAAACATACCTAATATGGCCACAAATTTGACTGTTATAGATGACTAACCTGGATTTCTCAATTATCCTAAATGATTTATAATAATAACTTTTAAGGAATAGAACTTTATATTACATTTTTAAATGAACTGCATAGGTAAGATACCTTAAATAAGAGTAGAAATATATATACAGTATAACAAAAATAACCTTAAACTTGAATCAATATATAAAAATTCATACCAATGTAAAATATTTGAGACCAGTGGTTATTCAAAAGTAGAATCAACAGTCCACCCTTTTATCCCATCATTGTGTATCTCCCGCTTTCCCTTCAGAAAGAGATCCCTTAATCTAATCTCCTTTCTCTGGCTTTTTTTCTGACCATGATCAACAACTTGTAGCCAGCCTCCCTAAATGATGTCAGACATCCATAATCCATTGAATGACTAAAAACCACCCATCCCACCTTGTGGGAATATGGGAGTTGTATTCTCTAGAATGCTTCCTGTTGTCTGGGATTGGGGGAAGGGGGCAGCATCTCTAGGGAACCCTGAGAAAATTGAGATGACGGTCAAGTCCTGGGAGAGATAGCTGCATCATTTGTTGTCTAGGTTCTGTGTAATAAGACAAGTGCAGAGACTTTCCTTCAGTCCTGGCTGGAGTAGTCTGTGAGGCTGGACCATCTCAGTTAGCAGGTTTGGAGTTGAGGAGACTGCAACAGAGGCATTCTGAGGCTGGAACACCTGGACTGCTTGTTTTTGTTGGTGTCTGGTCCTTTTTTGTTTGTTTGTTTTTGTTTTTCTGAAAACAAACTTTTAAAAGCAGCATATTTCTGCATCAACACAAGTATGGCATGTGTGGGCGGTGTGCACAAGTCAGCTAAAGATGACTGTTTGATGTTGGAGCAAGTAAAATGATCTGTTTGAAAGGATGGCTGTACTGATCAGTCAGGAGAACTCTAGCCAGATTTATCATGGCTCACCCAGTCCCAGAGCTGCTCCCATAGCAAGGGATCAGCATATACGACACCTGTCTTCCTTGGTTTCTCTCTTCAAGTTGGTAGCCAAGATTTTCAGGGGGTCTCCTCCATCCAAATATGATCTTCATTAATTTTGAAGAGAACCGTAACTTTTTGTTTCCTGTGGAAGCAAAGGCATAACCTCTCCCCAAATGCAACACATTTCCTGACTTCCATTTTGAAACCAGCGTATTTCTAAACCAGTGTATAGGCTGGTTTAGTTCAGCATCCCCGTCCATAATCCATCGTTTCTCAGCAGCTGCCATTCGCTCATCTGGATCCAACAGGATCCAGGCGCCGTGTGCATTTTCCATCTTTACCTGACTTATTCTTTTTATATTACTTTACTTTTATTTAAAGACTTTATTATTTTAAACTATTTGTAAATGTCTATACCCATTTTCTTTATTTTTTTAAAGCACTTAAACCTATTAAATACACTGTACCTGACTTTTGTGCCTCTGCAGCCTTCTCAAGCCAAATCTTAAACTGCTAGGCTCCTACCACCTGACTGCTTAGAGTATGGCATGCTAGCAGCTGGCTCCACCCTCTTTATTCTGTGAGAGCCTGGCCTCATGCCAGCGGTACCAGCCCACAATCACATTTACTTGCCCTAACACTGGAATGTTGTGTCCGCCTGAGGCAGGCATTTGTACCAGGTGCCAACTGCTCAAATGCTCAGCTATACAGCAGGGCCTTTTAAAAAGAGCCACACCTCTGTACACTGAGCCTACCTGAGAGTTCCAGGGAACCTTTTCTTTCTTTCTTCTATTTATTTATTTTTTTGGATTCGTGATTATGAAACAGGCAACTTGATCCCTTGGGTAAGAAATATATCAAGTGCCGTCATTACCAGGGCAATCCCCCAACAAGATGCAGAGACTGCATGTCAGCAAAGGGCGTGGAGATAAATCTCTCTGGAGCCGGTTTCAGGGACCAGCATCTGCTGTATTCGCATTTCGCATGGGCAACCGCTTAGATAGTGGAGCCTGTTGACTGTGTTTGGTTAGCACATTGAACGCTCAAACAACCAGGGTCTCTACGCGGAAGTCGCATATTAAAGGAGACATGGAGAGTGCAGACATGTCACGTGTTAGCTACAGGCTACTCAAGCGCAGTGTGCCAGGTAGGCTGACTGGTGGGTATGCCTGCATTTTCTGCTACAATCCAGACGTCCAGAATGGGGATGTGTCGTGTCCAAGACGCAAGAGTGAAGACTCACTAAAAATAAAAGACAGATAACTGCTTATTCATGGAGTTGGTGTTGGGAGACACTTCCACTTTTTCTTCTGTTGTGGTTTTGTTGGATTTCCAAAGACGCACTGAAACCACCACAACAGTGGTTATTCAGTTAGTATGACTGCAAATTCCACGTCTGCAATTTTATGTTACTGTTGTTTTCATCTGTTTTTTATTTTATTATTTTATGTTTATGGGTGCATTGCCTGCATCTGTCTGTGCACCGTGTGCATGCAGTGCCCACAAAGGCTGGAAGAGGGACTAGGACAGGAACTGGAGTTGCAGGCAGTTGTGAGCTGCCATGTGGATGCTGGAGAGTGAACCTTGAACCTGCAAGAGCGGCCAGCGCTCTTAACTGTGGAGCCATCTCTCCAGCCACTATATTGGATTTTTAATCATTTTTTTATCGTTATACCTTGTTCTGAAAAAGAGAACCAGTGTTTAGAGATGATATTTCCATTAGGAACGTCTCCCTCTCCTCTCTCCTTTCTGAAACAAGGTGCTCTGGCGGGCCAGCCTTGCTCACAGTGCTAGAAGAGTCTCTGCTTAACTTGAGCTGTTTGCTCAACTCCCCAGAACAGTGGTTCTCAGCCTATATGGGCCATGACCCCCGCCACGGGGGTCGCATATCACAGAGCCTGCAGGTATCACAGATTTACATTACGATTCCTAACAGTAGCAAAATTGTAGTTATGAAGTAGCAATGGAATAATTTTATGGTTGGGGTCCCCACAACACGAGGAACCGTATGAAAGGGTGGCAGCACCAGAAAGTCTGACCACCGCTGCCCTAGCAGAGCGGCACGCACAGGACACGCACCTGCCCGCTCCTGCTGAATCTCCAGCTTTTATTGCAGGTCGATAAGGAGACGAATACCGAAGAAGCAGTGGATAGCAATATGGCGGTCCGCCCCAAAGACCGCAGCGGCCTGAGCTCCCGACAGCATCCCTTCGTGAGAAGCAGCGTGATAGTGCGCTCACAAACCTTCTCCCCAGGCGAGCGGAGCCAGTACATCTGCAGGGTAAGGGGCAGCCCTGCCTGAAGACACTAAGGGCCACAAACAGCAGGTGTAGAACATCATACCCTGGGGGTCCTTTTCAGTGGGTTTGTTCCCCCCACACACACAATGTCTTGCTGGCTCTAATGTAATTTACTTGGCAAAGAACTAAAGTGTAAGGATTTAGATGGTAAGAATTGTTGATCTTCTATGTTTAGAAACATAAAATGACTTAAGAAATGTATTTTGTATGTTTCATATGCATTTCTAACTGTATTAATCATGCTGAAGAGAAATGTGAGTTAGATTTTACAGCACAGATTATGTTCTAAGACCTTGCATCCCTGAATCAGACTCATAGTCCCTGGATGAAAATTGTGAGATTGATGTCAGTTTCCCCAAAGTCTACTTGGTGAATTATTGTGAACTATAGTAAATGGCTTTAATATCACATACAGCTAGGCAGAAACTTTTAAAATTATGAATTTATCCAGGCAATAAAATCTTTATTGAGCACCTTCCTAGAAACTCCGCCCCCTTCTCATTTGCACAACTTTGGTTCTTGTCGATGACTCAGAGCATAAGTACCAAGCAGCTGAAGAAGCCATGAGTTGCTATTGGTGGAATCAATGCCGTGGGAAACAGAAGAGCAGTGGGGGTTGGAGTAGACACAGGGCTGGGGGTGGCCTTTCTTGATAAGGTGACCTTCAGCCGAGCCTGAGCCGGGGGAGGAGTGAGCAAGTGTGTTCCAACAGCACAGGCTCTTAGCGCTGTCCTTAGAGAAACAAAGCGCGGTTAGCTACGAGTACAGAACTTGCCGCCTCGTAAAACCTTTACATCCAGACTTTGACACACTGCTACCAAAAGGCAGCTCTTGGGGATATTTAAGAAAATTAAGTTCAGAAAGCCAAAGAATAGGGAAGAAATTATTTATGAAAGATTTTCTTAAGAGTATAGCTCCTGGGCTGCGGCCGTGGCTCTGCGGTTGACCAGTTCCCCAGAGTGGCCCTGGGTTTGATCCCCAGCACAGAAGTGAAGGGGAAAGAAGATGTCGTTCACATTGTCTCTCGCTCCCTGCTTTGTTCTGTAGCCGCCTCCCTTCTGACTGCCACTAGCTGTTGGTTATTTTGTAATTATCTCCTTTCCTTTTTATCTCTGGATCCCAGTTAAATCGCAGTGACAGTGACAGCTCAACCTTGGCCAAAAAATCTTTGTTTGTGAGAAACTCCACGGAACGGCGCAGTTTGCGGGTTAAAAGGGTGAGTATTCCGTGAGGCAGGCTTGGAGACCATAACTTCCAGAGGGTTGAGTGTCCGCACTCCCAGCTCTCGGGCTGGTGACGGAAGCCCTGGATCTCATGGAGCTGCAGCTGGGAGTCACTTACGGAGCCGGGGAGGACGTGTTTGTCCCTGGTTTGGAACCTGTGCTGATTAAGGCTGGAGACTGGTTTGCAGTGTCTTAAGAGAAGGTGGTCACTAAGCCCCCAGTGTCAGTGAGTTGAACCACCATTTCTAATGGGGATTTCAGCTTCTCCACCATGCCCAGCTCTTGATTGTGGGAGAATGTAAACCTGGCACCTTCCCTGACGGAGCAGATGTTCCACAAAGGAGTAGCACACGGGTGCTTTGTGCGGGGTTTGGGGAGACAAGGGGTGTTGTGGGATATTTTGTTTGCATTCTGACAGTTAAGTTTGCTTTGAGTCAGAGGGCGAAGCTAACCACTAGCTAGTTAACCATAGAGGTTTTGGAGGACTGAGGACAGATAGGAGACAGGAAGTAGTAAGGCGGGGCTGAGAGAGGATCTTAACCCTTCTGGATGGAGGAGCAGAAGACATTTTATAACTTGCAAAAACAATTATTTTTAGGCATTAGAAATAATATGGCTAGGACGATTCTCATTTCTTTCTACTCACCTGCCTTCCGAAGCAGCTCTTGCTTTTGGGGGATGGCAGCATTGGGGCATTTTTTAACTGGAAGTGTTGAGGACCTGGGTAGAGCTGGGTTACTCATAAACTTAAGAACCCCTCGATCTAGACAAAGGCACATTCTGAAATGTTGCTTATGTTGGGGTGTAGCTGGCTTGTAAACTGCGAGGGTAGCGTTCTGACTTAGGGATCCCAGCAGGGAAACTGTAGAGGTCTTGAGCTTACAAAGCACTGCAGAGATTTGCCTGTGTGGCTGTCACAGTGTGAGGACCCTCGGCAGTGCTGTCCTGAGCCCTCCTCACACTGCCTCTGGTGCAGCTGTGTTGAGAATGGTCTAGGGAATGGATACACAGTGTAAACCAATGTAGCCTGCCAGTCAGTGCTGCCCACGTCTGTGAGAGCTCACAGCTGAGCACTGATCACCAACACACCACTGTACACCACTGTACACTAGTCCTCATGGAGGCTTCATGCACCTTTGCTGACTCTGTGTGTGTGTGTGTGTGTGTGTGTGTGTAACAGGCATATGCATACCACAGTATATATGAAAATCAGGCAACTTTTGGGAGTTGGCTCCTGTCTTCTACCTTGCTGAGACAAGGTCCCTCTTGTTCCCGCCGCTTCACTGTGCTCTAGCCTCGCTGGCCTGTGAGCGTCCGAGCAATTCTGTCAGTGTCTTGTATGAATGAGACGCATGCTGCCACCTCCAGCGTTTGCTTGGGTCATCTGTCCCATGTGCCAGCATGTTTACCCCTGAGCCATCACCCCAGTGCGGGGGGGATGTCTGACTGAAAGAAAGTCATGTGGTCAGGGCACCCGCACATCTCGCTCTTTCTTTCCGTGGTGCTGTACGTGTGTGGAAAAGGCAGGGGTTGGGTACAGGAAACCTAGTAACAATGTTACGGAAGACAGGATATTTAGCAATGAGATCCCAAGCTGTGCCAGGTGGTGCAGACCTGTTATGTGACACTGTCCCTGGAAGGTGGGAATACATGTCTACTCGTCCCTCACAGGGAACCCTCAGACCCAGTGTGAATACTCCAAAGCGCAACCCTTTAATCTTGGAGGGACCCACTGCAGAACAAGGCCCTTATATAATCCAGGCCCTTGGGAGGCCAACTAGGAAGATCACAGTTCAAAGACAGCATACAAAGTGAGTCTGGGACCAACCTGGAACTAGTAAAACTGCCTTGAAATAGAAAGAGGACTGGGGGTGTAGCTCACTGGTAGGATGCCTACACTTACAAGGTCCCAAGTTCAATTCCCAGGACGACTAAAGGAAAAACAAGTATTCTAGTTTGGGTGAGGCGTCAGTCCAAGAGGCACCAAAAGGCCCCCTCCATCGCTGTGTCATGACCACCATGGTGACTCCCATCTCCAGACCAGAGCACTTGTGCCATGTGGTCCCCGTTCTTCCAAATCTCAGCTCCCATCCCCACCTTGTGAATCCATGCAGAAATTCTCCGGTAGCCCTGCTTCCGTTATCCTCTTCAGCCTAGTTTAAGTTCTCTTCCTTGAATGGGTCTGACTCATCCCCGAGTCCTCCCTCTCTCAGCTGGCTTCTTGAGATGGGTAAGACACAAACTCACAGTTCACCGCTGCCTGCAGCCTCATCAAGGCCAGAGACACCATCCTTTCCCTGATACTATCCCCGTAACTCACCCGCCAGCAGGCATTTACTCCTATCTACTTGGAATGGTTTCTTGATAAATGGATAGATTGGCCCTAGGGAAGACAGTTATGAGAGCAGACTGCACAGCAGGAAGTCAGGGAAGGAGCTGGAATGTAAACATCTGGACTGTAGGACAGAGGCCATCTCCACTGCGTTCTGACCAACACTCACAGCCTTGGTAGCTAAGGAGCGAGCTGCAGGGGTGTCCTGAACTAGAGGCTATATAACTGTCTTGTGATGCATTTGCTTTTCATTCACCATGAACTGTGCTATCCACTTAAAAATCACTTTAATTATGTTTGTTTGTAAGGTTACCACCTAATTTGTGTGGGGACAATGGGCAACTTTGAGGAGCTGGTTTTCTCTGCCCACCATGTGGATTCCAGGGATAGAACCCAGGTCATCAGACTACCTAGCACTCACTTTTGAGATCTCTGTAGTTTACAATGGCTCAGCTTCATTGCATGCTCAGCTACTAAAGTGGCAGGCTGGCCAGATAGCAGCCCCTGCTGCTCTCATGGGACCCAGGCTGAAGGAGCTTCCACCTCTGGTCACTGCTGTGTCCCCAGTGGGAGGCAAAAATGACAGATCTCACAGCACTTTGACAAGCGTCTCCCCAGAGGGGACACCTCTCCCACCGGCCTGTCTTTGGCCAAAGCAAGCCACATGGCCAGTTCTGTGTCCTGTCACGTGAGGAAGGGCAGAGGTAGGAAAGGGGCATCTGTTGTGTCTCCCTCCACAGGCCGTCTGCCAGCCCTCCCTCAGGAGGACTGCTCAGGAATGCCCTGTGCGCACATCTCTGGACCTGGAGCTGGACCTGCAGGCCTCGCTGACCCGCCAGAGCCGCCTCAACGATGAGCTGCAGGCCCTGAGGGACTTACGGCAGAAGCTGGAGGAACTGAAAGCTCAGGGAGAGACTGACCTTCCCCCAGGCGTGCTGGAGGATGAGAGATTCCAGAAGCTTCTGAAGCAAGCAGAGAAGCAAGTATGGAGTTCTGGGTCACCCCAGCAGGGGCTGGTGCAGATGTATGCGTAGGGGCGGGCACCTTGGAGGAGGGTCCCAACATGGGCATCTTCCCATCCTTTTCCTAGGACTTGGGGCATGGCCACCCCACCATTGTAGAGTCCTTCCTGCCCAAATATTGCTGTGGTGGTGGTTGTCCACCCGACCCCAAGGCAGCTCTGTAGTTTCCTGACAGAAAGGGAGCATGGCGGCATTGGGCGTCTCCGCAGATGGCACCCAGCGTTTGCATTTCAGCGCTCGGGAGAGTCCACGTTGCCACAGGAGCTATAAATACGCTGCTAATTTTAATGTTTCTAAATTTTCCCTTTCCTTCCTGGAAAAAAGATTGTATTCCACTTTAATAGTACGCATGCATTTGCCTTCACCCTAAAACCATGTCTAGAAGATAAGATAAGGTGACGGAATAAAGAAATGGGGCATCTCAGTGGGTTGCCCTGACTGGAACTTGCTATGTAGACCAGGCTGGCCTCAAATAAATTCACCTGCTTCTATTGCGAGGCAATGGGATTAAAGGTGTGCACCACACGTGCGCTGTATTGTTGTTATTGTGGAGATTTGTTTTTGTTTTTGGGGTTTTGTTTTGAAACAGCTCCTCACTGAATTCAGGCTGATCTTTAAGAATGTCCTTAATCCCAGGACTCTGAAAGTAGAGACAGGTGGATCTCTGTGAGTTCTGGTCTACATAATGAATTCCAGGATTGCCAGGGTCATATAATGAATGAGACCCTGTCTCAAAAATACAAACAAAACAAAAAAGAGAACGTGCAATCCCCCTGCCTCAGCTTCCCAAGCGCTGGCACTATAGGGATGCACCATCCCTCCTAGCAAATATCAAATATTTAAAAGGGATTTTCTTTTAATGTGCCACCTAAATATTACTGAGTCTGCCTGAATATAATACTGATTTATTCTCAGGGTTAGGATTTGTATTTTGGCTTAGCGATCTGTATTCATTGCTACATTTAAATAGGGCTTCCCATACAGCTGGAATGTTACACGTGCCTGAACGTTATTCTTTTAATGTGGCCCTTTGGGTGGCGATCTGACTAGCAGCAGGTGATTCCTGGAAGTGCCCACTAGAAAAGGACCCTCCGTAACAAGTTTGTCTTTTGGACTGATATGCTGGGTCCCACCTGGTGGCAGTGTTGAGAAGCAGCTGAGCCACAAGGACACTAAGCTCCTCAGCTGAGGACTCCTAGCTGAAGGAGCTGTTGGAAGGTGGAGGTCTAGTTGGGAGAGGGGAGTCACATGGTTGCCTTTGAAAGGCCTTGTTTCCAGATAGGCCTGTGCTCCCCGGCACACTCCCCACAGCCATTTCCTGCGCCCCCCCCCCCCCTGCATGGGTTCAGATGCAACAGAGCTGTGGCAGGGTTTGGAGAAAGAGGTGGGGGAGGGGACTTGGGGTGGAACTTCCATCAGAACATCCCAGACTCTTTGGGTGTGTGGACGCCAGGGGCCAGGGTCGAGCTTCCATCAGAATCTTCTTACCTTTCAGGTGTTCTCTTAGGTGTTGCTACAGCAACAAGAAGTGGCTAAGATGTTGGTGAGGAAAGAACGGTCCAGACAGATCTGAGATTTAAAAGATTCTTTGAATGTGTTAAGCATTATATGTCCACAATTTAGGCAAATGTCTAAGAAAATTCAAGAACTAAATAACAGAATGATGAGAACTGACAGATGGGGCTGTTGGTGGCCCTTGGGGGTGGGCATGACTGTGGCAGGAATGCCCATAGTCCACCCTGTGCTTGGCTACTCGGGGGGACAAGCTCCAGGAGTAGCAGCCGTAAGGGTTCCTAGCATCCTGATGTAAAGCGTATATACGCGCGTGCACACACACACACATGCAGCCCTCTCACTTCACTGGGAAGGAAGTGTGCACATAGACACAGCAGCCTGTACACACATGCACACACGCATTGTGCACGCGCACACACACAGCCCTTTCATTGCCACCATTTCCCTGTGAGGCTGGGCATCTGTGATTTCCATCAGATCATCATAAAGTGCCTAACGGTGACCCTGCTAATCGCCATAGAAAATATGAATGTGCCTCCTAGGGAAACAGCAGCCCCAGCAGCCGACCCTGGACCTGCCCTGGACCCCCCCCCCACCCCCGCCTTAGGCTCTCAGGATCGTCCTCCGTAAGCCTCCATGTTGACAGCAAAAAGTCTCTTTTATAGCTTACAATAAAAATCAAATGTTCATGCCCGCGGATTGTGCTTCCCCTTAGGAAGCGGAGTGAGGAGCCGAGGACTGTAAACTTAGATGCTGTGTTCCTTGTTCTGTCAGGCTTGACGTGGCTGGGAGTGAGCCCCTGGGCCTTGCTGCAGGCCAGGTCTTTTCACGTAAGCGGAAAGCGAGTCATCTTTTGGAGCCTACCACATAGAAAGTACCAGGGTGCGAGAGGATTTTGTTGTTGTTTGCTTGTTTTAATTTCAAGTGATACATATACTGCTAATACTTTTGAAAGTTAGGCTATACTGAAAAAAAATTGCTGAATATATTAATATTCTGTTGTGTCTTGTTCTTCTTGGAAGTGTTGGGGCTCTCATTGTGTGGAGGAAGCAGAAAGCAAGTCCCATAATGGAACTGTTAAGGAAAGGAAAGGCAGGCCAAGGCCTTGAGGAGACTCCATGAGGAGGGGAATGTGGCTGGTGGTCCAGAAAGGGACCAGAAGAAGCCGACTGAACTGCAGTGTGACCAGGGTAGTCACAGCTACACACTCAGCTGTCACCTGGTGTGACCCTGGCAGCTTCCCCAGGCACTGCCTAGTCTGCTCCACTTCCGCAGGCCCCGGGGAGACTGGGAAGGAAGTTACCCTGGAAGGACACCAACAGTTGCCCATGGAATTCCTCCTCTTAAAACGGCTTCCAGGGGAAAATAAAATAGCCAAACCTGTCCCACATACTGTAGCCTTCCTTGTCCGCAGTCACATATGTGGTCTCAGTTGCCTTTAATAAGCTAGAAACGTTAAAGAGAAAACTTCAGAGATGAAGGGCTGGTAGCTCCGGGTGTTTAGTGACCGTTCTGCTCTGTTACTGGCTACTGCCCGTCAGCTCTCCTGGTACCTGTACACGCAGCTGTATTTGGTCAGGAACAATACATGCAGACTCAAAGTTAGAAGAGAAAGTGAGCGACAGGCTGAGTTGTGGCTCCGCGAGTTTAATGCTTCAAACCTGACCGCTGCCCTTGGCTCCCCGGCACACGGGTGAAAAGCCAGGAGGAGAGGCGTGTGTGCGCTGTGCTGGGGTGGAGCATCATGGGAACCCCTTCTGCTCAGTTTCGTTACCAACTAAAAGCACCCCTAATTTATTTTTCTCTTTCCGTGTTTTCCCCTTGTCTTGTTGCTGGTGTTGGGGATTATTGCTGGTTGGGTTTGTTTGTTTGTTTGTGTTTTGGTGGGGTGAACTTTAGGTATAGCTCAGGCTGGCCTTAAACTGATGACAATTTTCCTGCCTCAACCAACCTTCGGAGTACTTGAATTATAGGCATGCGCTCCCTCATCTGGCTTCTCATTCTTATTTACTTATGCCCTGATTCACTCGTCGGTTTGCTCTTGAAACACAGTCTCTATGTACGCCAGGCTTTTCTGGAGCTCTCTGTGTAGCTCAGGCTATCCCAAATTTACAGTCTTCCTAGTTAGCTTTCCAAGCCACTGTGCCTCACTCTTTTTTTTTTTTTTTTTTTGTGGTTTTTCGAGACAGGGTTTCTCTGTGGTTTTGGAGCCTGTCCAGGCTGGTCTCGAACTCACAGAGATCCGCCTGCCTCTGCCTCCCTAGTGCTGGGATTAAAGGCGTGCGCCACCACCGCCCGGCTTGTGCCTCACTCTTAAAATGTTTTTTAATGTTAAGTTGAAAAAAAAAAAGTTAACCCAAGAAAACATTAACATTGTTTTTAATTTTTATAATTAATACACTCTCTTGTTTTTCTCATTCATTGAACTGTATCTGTTTTGTTCACAACCCTCCCCTCCCCTCTAATAGACTGTAGCCTACGACGGAGTGACTCACACTGAGACAGGAGGCTTACTGATGCTGACTCAGACGCTGAGCGATTTCCGCGGGTTAGCTCCTTTAAACTCCTAACCCACTGGAGTACTTACCCAAGAAACTACAGCCTAAGGACTAGCCAAGCCCCTGCCTCAGACTCAGAGCTAGGAAGTGCTCAAAAGGGAATTTGAAATCAGACAGTCAGCCCCAGGGTCCGCCATCTTCACCACTGCCAAAATAGAATATCCCTACCATACGTATTTGCTTATTAGGGGACCACATGGAGGAAATAGGGAAGCAGCCATTAGTGAACAATTTGTATTAAAATATCTAAGTGTGGGCTGGAGAGATGGCTCAGAGGTTAAGAGCACTGCCTGCTCTTCCAAAGGTCCTGAGTTCAATTCCCAGCAACCATATGGTGGCTCACAACCATCTGTATGGGGTCTTGTGCCCTCTTCTGGCCTGCAGGCATACACACAGACAGAATATTGTATACATAATAAATAAATAAATATTTAAAAAAATAAATAAATAAAATAAAATATCTAAGTGTGTGAGTGTCTAATGCAACATTAACAGTAAAACAGAGTATTAGGGGCCAGTGAGAACTTGGTGCCTGAAGGAACTAAGGGGATATAAGAACAGATGGGGTTCCTTCTGTCCCTTAGCCTGCAGCAGGTCACGCGGTGTGTCTGTGTGCGGGACTTGGAGCCCTGTGCTTACATACGCCATTGCTTAGTAGTCAGGTGCACTTAGGAAGCTCTTTAGCTGGCTGACACAGGGAAACAGGGCTGGGGAGGAAAGAGTTTGGGAGTGTATTTACTGAAATATTACCTATTCAACGCTAGTGGTTTTCAGTTTTAGGTTTTTGTTGTTTGACGTTTTCATTGTTGCTGTTGTTGGCTTTGTTTTGTTTTTTTGTTTTTGAGAGTCCTCAGGTTTGCCAGATGTAAAAATTTTAAGTGTGGTTATTGCGTCACCTAGATTAGGCAGTACCTCCCCCTCTTGGCATGAGCCTAGCATGTGGCTGTTGTCCTCTACTGCCCAACAAAAGCCACCCTTGACTGCGCGCCTTGGCCTCCAGCTGAGCCTTGCAAGGCGTCTCCAGGTTTCTAATCAAGCTCTTATCTGTTGCCCCACTGTTATTTCCTCTGCCAGGCTGAGCAGACGAAAGAAGAGCAGAAGCAAGACCTGAACGCAGAGAAACTGATGAGGCAGGCGTCCAAGGATGTGTGCCGGCTGCGGGAGCAGAGCCGGAAGGTGCCTCGGCAGGTGCAGTCCTTCAGGTAAGTGGCTTCCCGGCACCAGCTCCTTCTGTGACGTCCCCCTCCTGCGCCGTGATTGCACAAGAATTCACCTCAGGACTAAGTGACCCTTGCCACTGTGTCTGTCCCTGGTATGAATATAGTTGTACATGCGCTCCACGCTGAGGTGACACCCACTGATCCTGTCTCCCCAGCAGCCCGGAACCTCTGATTGTCATGAGTTCATCTCATTGAGAAAGCTTCACCCAGGATATAGAAAAATACACAAAAGCCATGGATCTTTGGGGGATTTTGTTCGCTCATTTTCTGGCCATTCCTTGGGTACCATTCTCTCTCTCTCTCTCTCTCTCTCTCTCTCTCTCTCTCTCTCACACACACACACACACACACACACACACACAACACATACACACACGCAGAAGCACACACGCAGACACACCTTGCACTGTTCTGACCCCCACAGTACAGCAACGGAACACATGCTTCCTGCTCCTACGGGGTCCCTAGTCTGACAGGACCGAGGTCTACAGCCCCTTCAGGGCCATGCAGAGCAGTTTCATGTCGTGCGGATGAATCTGGACCATGAGAGAATCTGGGGAGAACTCCAGTCTGTGTAGGCCAGATATGCGGGCTCTACAGGTCAGCTCAAGGAGGGCACCATTGGAGTCCACTGTGGAAGGGTTCCACCAGGTCTTTCTTGAGGCACTGGCTGTGGTGGCTGTGAGGAACGGCACAGACAGAGCTGTCCCAGGCGAGCTTGTCAGACTCCACAGGGCCTGAACACCACACAGAAGGATTTCAGGTGTGGCTTTGAGTACTGAGGAAGCCAGGTCTCTGAGAACAAAAGTCACGGTGGGGATCCTGCTGGGGCAGGCAACGGAGGCGGCAAGGAGGGAAGACTGAGGCAGAGAGCAGGGGAGAGGAGAGTGTTCTCAGTGAGGACTTCCTGCTTTGCATAGCCTGGGTGAACCATGCTGTCGGCCAGCCAAGTAACTCCACCCGGTGGACAGTCAGAAATCAAGCTCTGGAGGGGTTAAGGGTCACATGGAGAGAGTTCCCACGGTAGAAACAGGCGACACATCCCAGAAAGTGGGGGAAGGTGACCAGGAGAGGACACCTGCTGGGCACTGGCAAAGGTGAAAAGGAGTGGTCAAGAGCTGGAAGGAGCTCAGAGTGTGGTCCTGGGGCTGAAGGACCAGAGAGGACAGACTGTGGGACACTGAGACGTAAGAGAAGAGAATTAAAATGTCCCCAGATCATGTGGCATGGGGGGGCCTCAGAGACCATGCCGCTTGGTCAAGTATAGGAGGATCGCAGGAAAAGCTTTCTCTACTTGTTTTATGTTAATTTTAGTTTTGACTTAGGTTTCATATAAAGAAATCCTCACAGAGCTTCTACGCTTGGGCCAGCAAGATGGTTCAGTGGGAAAAGGCGCTTGCGGCCAAGCCTGATGGCCTGAGTTCAGTGCCTGCCTAGAACCCACATGGTGGAAGGAGAGAGCCAGTTCCCATGAGTGTCCTCTGACCTCCATACATGTACTGTGACGTGTTCACCTTCTCCTCCCTCATATGTGTGCACACACACAAATAAATGTAAAAGGAGAGAAAAAGAAAACCAGTTAGCTTTTAGGTCGTGGAGAAGGATTGAGAGAGAGGCTGTTTGGGAGAAGGAAAGGAAGGACTCATGGCGGAAGGGGAGCTTTGAAGGGCGGGAGCTGGCATCAGGCACATGAGACTTCAGAGCAGGGGTCATGTTGACAGAGGTGTCTGTCCCACCCAGTCCCAAAGAAACACACAGAAGCCTGCATTAATTATAAACTGGTTGGCCTATTAGCTCAGGCTTTCTTATTAACTAGCTCTTACATTAACCCATAATTCTTGTCTTGTTAGCCACATGGCTTGGTACCTTTATCAGTGAGGCATTCTCATCTTGCTTCCTCTGCATCTGATGACTGCAGACTGAGATTGAGCCTTTTTGCTTCCCAGAATTCTCCTATGCAGCCCACCATGCCCCCGTGTCTGCGCTCGGTGCGCTGGCACCCAGTTCACGAGCTTCGGGCAAGGGGCTGGAGGTTAAAATACACAGACACACACAGACAGAGAGACAGCAACATGGGTCATCCTTGAATTCCCCAAGAATGCCCCCTTTATTGTGTTCAGGGGCAGATTATATAGAGATAGCCACGCCCCAGCCAAACCCACCAGAAACCACTCTCCTGCCATCAGGAACTCCTGAAGGTCTCGTGCTCCGAGCAGCTGTAGGCACTCAGATCTGGGGTCTCACTGCTCCCAACACTCCTACTCTGGCTGCTCCGCCTATACTTCCTGCCTGGGTACTGGACAGTCAGCATTTTATTAAACCAATACAAGTGACAAATCTTTACAGGATCCAAGACCACTGGAAGCTGAGGTGCTGAAGGTCCCATATGTATGGGTAAAGGACTGGGCTTTCCTGCCCACTGTGCCAGACAGCCACTGTGGCTGTTTGCCGGAAGTGCTACTGCTTGATTTTGTAGCCATGGAGTGGTGGCAGGGCCCTTCCTGCCCAGCATGCTGCCACCTTCCACAGAAAGCAGTGCTGCCAACCATGGACAATCTTTAACATCTTCCCGTTGTTAAAATCCAAAGTAAAGAACGCATAAGCACTGCTGTTTCCCATAAGAAACCCCCCTGCCTGTCCTGGTATGATGGCACACGCCCAACAGGTCAAAGGCAGAGGCAGGGAGATCTCTGAGTTCAGGGCCAGCCAGTCTACACAATGAGTTCCAGGGCAGCCACAGCAGCTGGGGCTACACAGTGAGGCCCCCTCTTTGGGGGGGGGGGGGTCAACCCATTGATATCACGAAGCTCGTGATGAGAATGAACATGTTGGACTGAGGGAAGACACACCGTGTAGGGACTGTGACATCTATGATAGCTGAATGTGCTCCTTGGTGCCTAGGGCAGTGAGAGATGAAGGAGCAGCAGCAGGTGGGTCAGGAGTAGGCCTGCTGCGAAGCCAGGAGCCCAGTGGCCACGTTGCTCAGTCCAGTCAGCAAGGAAGGCAGGCGCTGTACCTGACCATGTAGTTAAATCCTCGCAGGGTTCAGCAGGGTCCTGTGGCCTCCCAGGAATCATGGCAACAGTCTCTGGCCTTTTTAACATCTTGACTCGTCTTTTAGGGAACTAGCCAATCGTAAAGGGAGCTGTATCATAAAATAACTCTGTCCAGTGTCCGCTTTTCACTCCATCGGCACCATTTCTTGTGTGTTGAGGGGAGGCACCTTAGTCCTTCCTCCCAGCTGCCAAGCACGGCTATGTGTGTGAGGTCCTGTAAAAAGATAAGCTGCCATCACCGTTGGTCACCGTATGGTCCTGAAATCTTATTTTTCCTATCGTTCCCCTAACGTGAATACCATCCGTCAGTCTCCCCTTGGCGCGCAGCGTGATTTCTTCCTAAGATCGTCAGGTGGGGGCTGGGAAGATGGCTCAGTGAGTGACACTTGCTCTTCGGCATGGAGGCCTGAGATAGGTCCCCCCCGCCACCTGCCTAGGAAAGTAAGACGACCTGTAACTGCTGCTGCGGACGCTGAGACAGGAGGATTCCTGGAGCTTGCTGGCTAGCCAATCTTACTGAATCAGCAAGCTCCAAGTTCAGTAAGAGACCCTGTCTCAAAGGGCTGACAAGGTGGCTCAGCGGGTAAGGACACCTGTCCCCAGGGCAGGCAACACGAGTTTGATCCCTAGGACCTACGTAATAGGAGATAACCAACTCCACAGGGTGTCCTCCACGCTACACACACACACACACACACACACACACACACACACGTAAATAAAAGTAATGAACAAATTAAAATAATAATAATAATATGGAGAGCATTTGAGGGAAACATGAACAGTGCCTCGTGTGTCTCTTCCAGTGTCCCCGTCTCTGCCTTCCTTCACATGAGTTTGTTCTGACAAACTTCTTGGTATCACGGATTCTGTAAGGACTCTGGGAATTTCAGTTCAGCGTTTTGACCCTTTGGAAGCTTCTCTAACCTTAGAAATATCCGAACACAGCCCCACACCCCTGATGGATTACAGATGCTCTTCAGTTGGGAACCCTCGGGGAACACAGTGACTTAGTGTGTAGGGGACTTGGAGCCAGAGGAACTCAATGTACCACCCACCCTTAAAGCAAGGACAATGCAGCCTGGGACGATGGCTCGGTGGGGAGAGGCACTTGTCACCATGCTTGGTGGTCTGAGTTCAACACCAGGGCCCACGGAGAAAGAGGGGACTGACTCCCACAAGTGGTAGGAGTTTCCTCTGATTTCACCATGGCATTGCACCCCTTACACAAACACCAAATAAAAATGGCCATAAACAATGATTAAAAATGAAGGCTCTCGTGATTTTAAGTGTGGTTTCTGGGATTGTGGAGACAGCCCTGGGGCTCTCAGAATTCCCAGGATGATGCTGAGTGGTCCTCTCCCTCTCTCCCTCCAGGGAGAAGATAGCCTACTTCACGCGAGCGAAGATCAGCATTCCGTCCCTGCCAGCTGATGACGTGTGACCCTGCGGCTCAGTGTTACTCCCCACCTGCTCTCTTTCCAAGGGAGGGTCAAAGACTGAACATTTGCTGTTTGTTGTTTTTATTTTTGTTGGGGGGTGGGGCTTTTGTTGCCTGTAACCTAACTGTCAATCTTGAAGAACTTGCGTTTCTCACCAGTCTCATCAGGTTAATCTCTAAGCTCCTTTGAATGTAACTCTTACATGCTTTGCGAAGGAAAAAGAATTCACAGGACGGAAACGGGGTGATCTGGTCCCCACGTGTGGCACAGTGTGTATGTGCAACCCCTGGGCTTCACTGTGCAAAGTGGAACAGAGGCCGCAGGTGCCCAGTGCATCCCTGCTGAGCCCACTGCAGGGGGCAGCCACGCAGGAGCTGAGAAGTGGAACAGAGGCCACAGGTGCCCAGTGCATCCCTGCTGAGCCCACTGCAGGGGGCAGCCATGCAGGAGCTGAGAAGCTGCTCCCACCAAACCAGAGTCCTGAGCTAGAAAGCCACACTTCCCCACTGAAGGTGCTCGCAAGCAAGCATCGCCCTGCGTCCACCCGAAACAGGCGCGTCCTTCCGTCAGCTGGGTCTGGCCCTCTCATTTCCACAAGACATTTCTTTCTGCCCTCCTAAACTTGTCTGGAGAAAACAAAACATGTGAAATGCTGAATACAAGAACATGAAAAGCCAAGGTATAGTCCCACTGTAGAGAGCTGTGGTTGGAACAGAATGGGAAGGGGGCACCAGCTCCCGAAAAACACCAAGGAAACGCAACTGATGCTTATGTGGCCTCTGCTTCTAACGCAATCTGAACCTGCAGAGCTGTCTTTCTGGCCTGTACCAGTCCTAGGGATAAAGGCAATGCCACAGAGAAGCATGAGGTGGCCCTGGGTTCTAATGACAGCGTAGGCAGAGCAGAGGGGACCCACCCACAGCACACGCGGTATGGAGGGGACATACCCATGTTCAGTAGGTGAGGTCGGATGGGGCGCATCTTAATGAGATCAAGCTGGCCAAAGAGAACAGTTAGTCCACAGGTTTCTAGGCTTACTAGGAACTATTTTGCTGCTGTCATCTTTAGGGGAGTCTCTCAGTGAGTCAGCAGTCGGACGCAAAAACACAGGGTGTGCCTGAGGGTACTGAGAGTGTGGACTGGGTCACTTAAACATATGTATATTTGGGGGGAACAAACAAGATAGAAATTGTTCAAAGTATCCTATTCTCCGGGTTAGGTTTTAACCAGAACAGGGCACTTCTTTTTTTAAAAAAGAAAAAGAAAGGAAGGGAGAGGAAAGAAAAAGACTCAGCATCAAAGTGTTAAAATACATAGGTTTTAGGTAATTTAAACCATACTTACTTAGTCTGTCATACTGGAAGAAGCCGGGTTTTGGTGAGCCATCTTATATAGCAAGCTAAATTATTTTTATTTTTTTAATGCAAAATAATTTTATAGGAATTTTAAAAAGAAAGTTAGGCAAGAAAAATCTGTTTTTAAAAAGAATTATGTTCTGCTGGAATCCCCATTAGTAAGAACTTTTATTTTCCTGAATCTATGCAGATTTTAGAAAGTTCATCCTATCAGAATCAAAATGTATACCCAGCCAGAACTTCAGTTATCAGCTGCCGCACCGAAAACTCCAGTCGTTTTCCCTCAGTGTTCCACAGCTTACACCCAACTTAGAAGATGTAACTGGACGTGACAGCACTTGGAACAGAAAACAGCCTAGTGGCAGACTGAGTCCCATTTGCCCTGCAGGTGACTGGAGGGAGCTGAAGTGCCCCCCCCCCCCATCCAGGTCAACTGTGAACAGCAGAGGTTTATTTAATACAGTGCTAAATAAAGGTCAGCTGTCTTCAGCAGCAGAGTTTGGCCCACGGACCTGTCCGTAGAATTTTGTGTAGTTGTACCGTACGATTTTATTTTCATTTATTTATTTACGGTCTTATTTATGTTCTGTTTAATATATAGTTCGGTTCTGGCCATCTTAAATGTTGGGCTTACAAGAGGCTATATTGGAGTGTTACAGCTTTATGATTTTCATCAGTTTTATTGCTAACTTTTTGTATTACAAAAAGTCTCAGACGAGTACTAAAGAATAAAGTGTGTCTCAGGCTGGTAGCTCACAGTTGTGACTGGGGGGCTTTGGTTTGATTTTACAGAACATGCTCGTTTCTAACATGAGAGAAGAACTTATTCTAGTAGAATCTTCCCCCACACTAAGAGTCAGCAATAGTATTGTGGATTACACGCAGCTTGACGTGGGCCACCGCATTTGTATTAACCCACGATTCAAAATCATCTTACTAACTCAATCACAAAACCGTATGGGAAAATAAAAATTTTAATGTTATTAAAAAATATTTTTAAAGGTAGAATTTATTCTGGACAGGAAAAAAAGAATTTAATATTTAGCTCTCAAGTTTGGATTATCAGTATATTATTACAGTTCTATATACCAGACTTTTAAGTGTTACAGATACAAAAAGAGTATTACTTGCCAAATGAACAAAGTTTAGCTGAGTCTCTGTAGCATACAAATTAAGTACTTTTTTTTAAAAAATTGCTATGAATTTATATTATATTAACTATGAGAAGTTCAGGACTGAACGAACTGTTTAATCAGGTTGAACCCTGCATATGTTTCTGTTCTCATCGGCGCTGTGTGTTAAAGTGTTCAAATACCACACACGGACTGTCTTCCCCTGCTGCACTTTCCATGTGTTTATGAAAACACACTCAGTAATTTAAAAAAAAAAAACAAGGATACATATTTCCTAATACTGTATTTCAGCGTTGCTTATTGTTCAGCTCATTTCCCTGATTGGCACAAATACAAGAATCTACTTGAACCATGTACCAAGCAAATATAAAATGTTCCATGAAGAATTTCTCAGGCCAAAAATTTGTCATGAACAGTTCTTGATTAGACTGTAGATCTCAAGGATAAACGAGATGGGATATTTTTGTTTCTCTAGGGAAACAAGGGCTGATTAGTCTGTGGGCCCCAGCTACCCTACCCGAGCTGGCAGCGTTCTTCCAAAGGAGGCAGCCGTCCCAGGAGGCACTGTGCCCACCCACACACGCCAGTCCCGACCTCTGCCACAGAGTCAAAGCAGGCAGGACATTCCACCCCACCACACAGGGACAGAAGGAGGTGCACTTTTGCGTGGCACATTCTACCTGAGTTCCCAGAATCCACGAGAACCGCTCTGTTTAGAGGCAGGCATGGATATTTCTGACGTGGGAAGAACTCTCTAGAGAGAGGTCTCTGGAAAGGGGGTGTCCCATTGAGTCAGGACCAAGCAAGTGTTTTGTTCCTGTTGTTGTTGTTGTTGCTTTTATTGTCCTTGGTTGTCATGTATTTTAAATAAGTATCTACTGAGATCTTAGTTTCCTAAGTTACTTTAGATACCCTAAAGAACATGGTCAACATCACGTCTGTTTCCCACATGACTCCTGTCCACGTGAACGATCCTTTCACAAAAGCGCTCGTATGATGTTTGGTTTACCCACTCATGGTGTGTGTGCAATCACAGCCTATTTTAAAGGCTGACAACGTTCTAAAGCTCACTAATGGCTGATTACTTCAAAATATCCTGATTCAACTGGCTCCAAATAGAAAATACGCAATTGTAGAAAGAAAATTGTATTTAGAAGTTAATAGTCACAGAAAGGAAATATGCATTTCGGGAACTCAAAATCACACTGAGTAGGGGTGATTTTAGCAGGAGATCCTACCAAGTCCGGCTGGAGCGAGCACCTGCTGAAGAGTAGAAAGGCCACTGATCCATCTGGCTTAGATTTCTGAGCTGGCGTGTTTCAGCTCCAGCTGCTGACAGTGGTCTTGCAATCCTGCCACTGCATAGTGGCCAGAGGCGGGGGCAGCCGGGCTCCAGCAGGCTGCACAGTTGAGCAGCCACCCTCCCAGCACCAGGCAGAAGCCAGCAAACCAGCCAAGGAAAAGGGCCTCCCCAAACTCCCACCTGGGCACAATCTCAGGCAGGGTCTCATCCCAGAACTCCTGAACCGTCACGTGGGCCACCCAGGAGACAGGAACCAGGACCATCACGCCCGAAGTCCAGAGCAGGAGCCCTCCCAAGATGAGCAGCCGCCTCTTCAGACCCTTCTGGCTCTCTCCAAGCCTCCAGCAGTCCAGGCCACAGCCAGAGCCCAGCAGCCCCAGCAGCCCCAGCCCATTCGACAGAGACATCAGGATCCTGGAGATCTGGAGTTCAGCTGGCAAGGCCAGGAAGGAGTCAAAGTCCTTGCATTGCCTCCCCACTTCCTCCTGGATGACGCAGGCTTTCCAGAGCCCCATGGTCCAATTTTCCATCTCGTTCAGGTCCAGGTTGAGGTTCTTCCAGTGGGGCAAGTAGTTGGTGAGGCAGGCTAAAACCCATCCCAGCAGGGCTAGCAGAAGTGCAGCGGACTGCGTGGCTTTCCGGAAAACCAAGCCCATTAGAACGTCCCGCGAGCCTGAGCCAGCCCGACTCCTGCCCCGCTTGCTGTAAAAAAAGTGTGACACTTAGCTCTTGCAGAGCTTAGACATAGTTTTGCATTGTGTGTATAGGAGGACGCTTGCCAGGTCTACTATTGTTTGAGTCCATGTTGAAAAGGTTTCAGAAGAGGACAGGGAAACACTGCTATGAACCAGCAATGCTAAGGTGTGGCCCGGGGCTGTGTTTGTGTCCTGTGGGCTGAAGTTTGTGCAGAACACTTTGTCAGGGAGCCTCTGAGGTCAAGTTGTGCTAATCCTTTCATTGTGAAGGTTTACCTGGCTTTCACATTCCCAACGCTCCTAACAAGTCGGAGAATTAAGTCTAAATGTAAAAAAAAAAAAAAAAAAAAAAAAAAACCTCTTAATTGAAGGTTCGGGTTCAGCTCCTCCTGCTTTGTGCTGTGCTAATTACACCTGTCAGATTTTCATCTGTTAGAGTTTCCGTGCATGTGTTATGATAATACTGGGTGTTACCATCTTTGCAAAAAAAAAAAAAAAAGAGGTTCAGAGAGAAGTATTTCTTAACCAAATAAATCAATCTTATCAGGAATCCCTCTAGACTTTAAATCAGGCCTGTTTTGAAAATTCTTTGGCTACACAGTGCAGAGAGCAGGAAGCAATGTCGGCCCTCACTTATCTGCACGCCTTGTGTTAAGTCACATGCATAAGCCATGAATAGCTGTCAGGCTCTGAGAATTTGGAGGAATTTTCTTCTTTCTGTTTTTTGTTTCTTTGCTGAAATTAACTTCTTAGGATGTAGGGAAGAGAAGCAACAGGGCCTTTGGGTAGAGTCAACATGGTTGCTCCCATTTCACTACATCTCCCCATGTCTGTCGTCTGGAACTGAACACACAAGTTTTCATTCTGACAAATGAACTGAGAGAAGCTAGATAGCAAGAAAAAACTCCTGCTGGAAATATTTTTTCCCTTTTTAAGCTTGAAGTTTTTGAGTAAAGAGATGAGGACTGAGATTGGCTACCACATAAAAATAGTAAAAGCCCACAGTGTTCTGGAGGTCCAACCAGAACATCCGGGAACTCCAGCTTCCTAAAGTCCTCAGAGTTCAGCAGGCTCCTGGGAACATCTAAGCAAGATGTAGAATCGCCTGGGAGGTGGCATTTGGCAACTGACTTAGCCTGTGGCTCTGCTAATAAACAGGACCGCAGATTGTTAGTACTTTCTTTAGGAAGGAGAAAGAAATTATGGTTTCCACGTGCAAACAGCAACACAGCTTACCCACAAACGAATACCTCAAAGCACTGGACTGCCTGTATTGGGCACACACTGGAAATCAACATTTTTTCCTCCACACCTAGCTACATAATATTTGCCATCATGATCTCCTTATAGATAAACTTCCTTTCATTCTTCAGATTTAAGAAGCAAGCCTCTAGTATAGACCAAAAGAAAAAAAGTTAGCAAATTTATTTAAAAAAAAAAAAAAGTGAGCAGAACAATTAAGTTACGTAACAGAGATGTTTTGTCATCAGTGACAAAGGACGTGACTAGGCCCCGCTGGTGGCTTACACTTGAGGCTGTGCAGTTCCGTTTTCCAGATACGAACCGTGGTCTTGCAATCCTGCCACTGCATAGTGGCCAGAGGCGGGGGCAGCCGGGCTCCAGCAGGCTGCACAGTTGAGCAGCCACCCTCCCAGCACCAGGCAGAAGCCAGCAAACCAGCCAAGGAAAAGGGCCTCCCCAAACTCCCACCTGGGCACAATCTCAGGCAGGGTCTCATCCCAGAACTCCTGAACCGTCACGTGGGCCACCCAGGAGACAGGAACCAGGACCATCACGCCCGAAGTCCAGAGCAGGAGCCCTCCCAAGATGAGCAGCCGCCTCTTCAGACCCTTCTGGCTCTCTCCAAGCCTCCAGCAGTCCAGGCCACAGCCAGAGCCCAGCAGCCCCAGCAGCCCCAGCCCATTCGACAGAGACATCAGGATCCTGGAGATCTGGAGTTCAGCTGGCAAGGCCAGGAAGGAGTCAAAGTCCTTGCATTGCCTCCCCACTTCCTCCTGGATGACGCAGGCTTTCCAGAGCCCCATGGTCCAGTTTTCCATCTCGTTCAGGTCCAGGTTGAGGTTCTTCCAGTGGGGCAGATACGTTGTAATAATGGCCAGGACCCATCCTAGCAGTGAGAGCGAAAGCCCTGCAGATTGCATGGCCGTTCTGAAGATGAAAGCCATTGAGGCAGATGGTGCAGCTCGGCCACTCTATAGAATCTGCTGCTCTTGGCGGTTGACAGTGGTGTGACAGTCTTGATCCTATGCCACCCGGAATATAAGCTTTGGTCATTCACTCTCTGGGCGCTCTGAAATACGTTTTTGTTCCTCTTGAATATAGTGTTTCATGTAAAGGGTAGAGGAATCTGTTAAAAACTATGAGTTAGGCTTTCTGATAAGGATTTGATCTGCTACTTTCCAATTTGCTTAGTAAAATTCTATCCCCAATGCTTGACGGGTATAAGTCTGAAGACGAACAAAGAGGCCTCTATGACCCCTCACCCTAACGTACAACAGAAATCTTTGTGCTTCAGTATGGATTAATTAGATTTTAAGTGGTGATAAAAGGTCAGCTCTTTCTGCAACAGGCCCTCATTGTAACGGTTGCATCTGAGATTTCAGGGATGCAACAAAACAAGGACCTTGTAAAGAAAGGTAGACTGTTTCCCTATAATCTGTTCTCCTCAGCATTCCTTAACCTACACAGGCCCGTGTTCCTGAGTGTCACAGCGATTCCCTCAGGACTTGGCAGGAAGATTTCCTCGGATTCCTTTGAAAGTCAGAGCCTGGTTCACCACATTAATTAAAATGAAAAGGACCTGGGTTGATGCCCAGAGAAACTCAGTGAGGAATGGGGCATTATGGGAAACTCCAGCTCTTCTTTACTCTTTGGTCCGTCCTTGTCCATTAGACACTGGGTAAAGCCTGGTGTCTCCTGGTGCTGTTTATTGCCCAGAGCTGAGCATCCCTTCCTCTTTCAGTTGCAAAGGCAAAGGAGCAAAAGTCTGCTATGAGAATAGGCACGATGGGGCTGACCTTTGAGGCTTTATCTCGTTGTTTTGCTTCAGGCCACACCTGGCGAGCATACCTCAGGCAAGCATGACCCCTCAAAGAACACTGGGTCCCAGGCCAGCACAAAAGGCCGCGTGCCCCAGATTCCTGGCGCTGTTGCATGTCTGGCAGGGCCCAGCCCCTCTCTCAGAGCCGCCGCCTGAGTGAGTGTAACACAGAGAAGGAAGACCACTGTGCTTCGTGGAGCATAAAGCAAGGCCAGTTCAGGACCAGAGAAAGACATTCATGACACGGACACGGGCTCCGAAATCCAGGAGCCTTAGAATTTGAGGGAATGCTATCTTTTTCTTTTTTTGCATTCAGCTAATTTTTTAAGGCCGTCAGACTGAAGGTATAGCTCAAGGGCAGAGTCCTTTATTAAGAACAGAGGGCCCTGGGTTCCATTTCCAGCACTTCAAAATTAGGTTTGCCAACACTTGACTTTTTTTTTCTTTCCTCAGTGCTAGGCAGTCCCAGGGCAAAACATACACTAGGCAAGCATGCTACCATTAAGCTAGCCCAAGCACTAATTACCTTCCATGTGCAGATTTTCAGAATCCCTTGGACTAGGTTGATGTCCTCAGTGTGATGAAGCAAGCCCTGAGTTTGGACATAGAGACACATGATCCAGAAAAGGCTGGCACTGGGCCTCGGGCCTGTCAAGAAATGGATAAGATGGAGCTCAAACTTCTTTGCGGAGACTGGCAAGTTGGTGGCAGTCCTAGCAGCAACCACTGATGGGGAGAACATGGATATCACATGGAAACATCCTTTCTAAAAGTGTAATGAGCACAGGCCGTTTGTGAGACAGTGAGTTCTCTGTCCCAGATGGGTTTAAAGCAAGGATGCCCTGCCTCAGGAAGACTCCGCTAGGAGGTCAGCTGGACCGGTTTGGTCTCTCTGCATCTTCCACACTCACTTCTTACAGCTTTGAAAGCAGTGTTTGATGAGTGTGGTCTGGCCTAGAATTAAGTCCCTAAAAGGCAACCAAGAAGAGTCATGCAGTCCCACCATGGCCCTGTGGGGTCCTCATTTGTGCGGGAAAAGATCCTTGGCAAACAACTAACTCAGAGGCCAGAGAAAAACGAAGAGCTTTGAAGAAGGTCACGTGGCTCAGTGGGTAAAGGCCACTACTCCCAAGTCTGAGGACCTGAGTTCCCTCCCAGGTCCCATGGGTGGAAGGAGAGAACCAACTCCCGGAAGTCATCCTCTGTTCTTCACAAGTATGCAGTGGTGTGTACACACATTTAATAAATATGCAGCGGTGTGTCCACTCCACACACATGTAAATAAATAAATACATTTTTATTGCTTCACATTATTTTATCTTATTTTTATGCATATGGGTATTTTACCTACGTGTGCGTCTGTGCACCACATACGTGAGGCCAGAAGAAGGTGTTGGATCCCTGGGAACTAGAGTTACAGATGGTTGTGAGCCACCATGAGGGTGTTGGGAGATCAAACCTGGGTCCTGGGTCCTCTAGAAGAACAGCCACTGAACCTTCTCTCCAGGTCCAAAAAAAAAAAAATCAATGAAATAAAATAAAAATTAAGAGCTGAGAACTTAAAGGCAGATACCTGAACCACAAGGCAGAAAAGTCTGCCCCGGAAAGCAGCCAGCAAGTGGACAGGAACCCCAGATACAGATCTAGGAGGCCCTCACCTATCTAGAGTATGGATGGAGGGGACACTCAGGCAGATGACAGATGTTTTTACCCACCCACTATTCTGTGTGTGTTCATTCTGTCTCGGGGGAGAGACAGACAGAGACAGAGAATGACAGAGACAGAGAGACAGACCTAGAGACAGAGAGACAGACCCAGAGACTCAGGAGAAGCAGAGGTCATGAAGTCAGCTCGCACTGAAAGAGAACCTGAGCCTGCATCCCAGTAGACCAGGGCCTGTCGCAGATTTAGCACGAAGAATCACACATCAGGACAAAACATTTGGTCCAGGGCACAGATAAACACGCTGTAGCAAACCATCCCAACACATTCCTATTTCAGACAATCATCTCCGTGTGTTTTGTGATTCTGCCATTTACGTGACACTTGAAGACACAAAGGTGCTGAAAGAGGCTGGGCGTGGTGGTGCACACCTTTGATCCCATGGCTTGCTAGACAGATCCAGGCTGAGTTCAGTGAGTCCCAGGACAGCCTGGTCTAGGCAGTGAATTCCAGATCAGTCAAGGCTACCTAACATCTCAAAAAAAAAAAAAAAAAAAGAAAAGAAAAAAGAAAAGAAAATTGAAAGATTGTGTTGTTCATGCCAGACATAGGTCGGTATGTTAAAATATGAGAAAATGCCAGGGGCAAGTTTGAGAGAGGGAGGGAGCATTTGGTGGAACAGCCTGCAATCCCAGCACTGCTAAGGCAGAAGGAGGAGGAGCCAGTCTGCGTCCACATAGTAAGTGCCTGGCAAAAAACAAAAAGAGGAAAAATTATTTTGACTTAGGACTTAGTTCTAATCTCTTGGCCCATTACTCTGGGGCCTGCAGTGAAGCAGCCCCTTGTAGTGAGAGCAGCCGGAACTCAGAAGAGCAAGGATGCCCTGGGAACAAGAAGACGCAGTGGGCGGGGGAGTGTTTAATACCAAGCGCCAGGATTTCAATACAAAGATAATAAAGATAATGAAGGACCTGGGAAGGTTATAAGCAAGTGTGTGGTGTGATTACATCTGCATTTTAAAAACTAACTAGTGGAACCCAGAGCCCTTCTTTGTATCACCTGAGACCCAAAAGCCACACCCAAACAGTTTACAGACAAACAGTGGCCAGCTGATGCTCAGAGAGCCTGGGGGCCTTGGGCAGGACTGGCTCTGTGCTCTCATCCCTACAGCCGGCAGCAGAGGTCCTCCTGCGGGAACAGGGGCACTGCGACAGCAAGACTACAGAACCATGGGGCTGAAGCACAAGACAGCATCAGAGAGCTGTAGGTCCTCAGGTCAAAGGGAAGATGAGACCTGCTGTTGCCAGAATAATCCTTTAAAAAAGAAATCCCTCCATGGTGGATGAAATGCCTCAGCGAGTAAAGGCACTTGCCATGAAGACTGAGAACCTGAGTTTGATCCTCAGAACCCATTTGGGAGAAGGAGAGATTGGCTCCTGCAAGTTGTTCGCTGGCCTCTACATACAAGCTGGTGTGTTCACACACATATACATACATGTAGAGAAAGACAAGCAGACAGATGATAGGTAAGTAGGCAAATAAGCAGATGATAGATAGATAGATAGATAGATAGATAGATAGATAGATAGATATGATAGGTAAGTAAATAAACAGATTATAGATAGGTGGACAGATTATAGGTAGGTAAAAATAAATTATAGATAGATGATAGATAGATAGATAAGTCAGTAAATAAACAGATTATAGATAGGTATGTAAAAATAGATTATAATAGATAGATGATAAGTAGGTAAATAAACAGATTATAGATAGGTAGACAGATGATATATAGGTAGGTAAAAAATAGATTATAGAGAGCTGGAGAGATGGCTCAGTGGTTAAGAGCACTGCCTGCTCTTCGAAAGGTCCTGAGTTCAATTCCCAGCAACCACATGGTGGCTCACAACCATCTGTAATGAGATCTGGTGCCCTCTTCTGGCCTGCAGACATACATGCAGACAGAATACTGAGAATACTGTACACATAATAAATAAATAAATCTAAAAAAATAGATTATATCTAGATAGATAAGATGAGAGAGAGATACATACATACATACATACATAGGTAGGTAGATGATAGGTAGGTAGATAATAGATTATAGGTAAGTAAGTAGATAGACAGGCAGATGGACAGATATAAAAATGAAAAACAATTAAAATAATCCCTCCAGCTCTAGAGACCAAGCCTACCATTCCATGGTGTGTGCTCCAGTTACTGGGCCAGGATACAGGTCCAATGTGAGTCACAAGATAAAGCCTCTGTCACAGTTGGAGACCTAGCAATAAGGATGTCCACAGTGGAGCCAGCTGTGGGAAAGGCCATTCCGCCTCTGCGGCCAGCACCTTGGGTGTGCACACTCCCTGCAGGGTCTTCCCTTTCTCCCAGTCACTTTGACATGTCAGAGAAGACAAAGGAATTCTTCCTGCCAAACACAACTCCATTTGATTCAAGAAAACCTGT